CACTCATTTATGCAGTTGCTTGTCTAATGACATTTTAATTGTCTCATGCGAGTTTGCCAGTTTGCTAGCTCGCCATTGCCATTGCCATTGCCATCATCGGCGTGCGCCACCTAGCGTTGGGTGGCCGCACCCGCACCCGCACCCGCATCCACACCCGCAAAAGTTCCGCCCACAAGTTCGCAACCAGAAGTTTTTATTTCGAAAATAAACTCATTTTAAATACTTTTGCCAACAATTTGCCATAATTTGGCTCATTTCCTACAACACACGACGCTGCCAGCTTTGTCACCAGTGGGGCTTCAATGGGTAAAACAGGGGGGGTGGGGGGTGGTGTTCCAACTGGAAGAACGGTGGGGCGTAAAAGGGAGTTAAAGTGGTGACTACTGCAAACTTTTGCGTCTGCTGTGCCAGGGGGCGTGGTTGAACCAACACCAACCTTCATCCCTCTCCTCCTTTTGTTGCTTGCACATTTTGGCATTGTGTGTTAAGTTCTTAAGCGCTGCCAAAAACTTGAGCCCGTACAGGCAACCCTTAGGCGGCAGCTCCACAAATGCCACGCCCCACCAAAGTCGCCTTTCTCCTTTCGTGGCCAAAAGAATAGTTAAAATGCGACAGTTCCTAGTAGGATATAATCGACCCTGCAGAGACCCTAGTTTGAACTAAATATATGAAACATCTGTGATTTTCTATGATTTTTCATCATATAGTATAAAACATAAAGGTTTCTCTTTATATAAAAACCAAAACTAAAATCTAGACGCCACACTACGTTACGCCTTATTTATTTGTTTCATTTTCAGTCAGGTGAACTTCGAAATATATATAGAGGTAAATTTATTAAGGCATTTTCTAGGGTATCGGGCACAAAAAGTGCCGCCTATGCAGTTATAACAAGATGGGTGGATTTTGGGGTGGTGCAGTTGCTACTTTATTACAGGGCAAAAACCAAGTTTGTCGGAAGGAGAAAGAAGAGACATCTCATTCTTGTCTAAGGCCCTGTCGTTTTTTGGCCTGTTTGCATAATTTCCCAAAGAGAAGCAACAATTGGCGGTGGCAAGGGGCTAAGCCGGGAAGGCCTGGGCTTAGACACCGTCAGAAAAAGTCTCCCAAAATCAATTTAAAAGAGATTTCCCATTACACCGAAATTTGTGTGATAATAATTTTTGAAGTTTTTGGTCAGTTTACCATATGTTTTTTCTAGCTTCGTTAATTATATACACATTTTATATATTTAAAACGAGTACAAATTAAACATAAATATATTTTTATGAGGCAACAATCTAAAAACCTTAATGCCTTAAGCACTATATTAAGAAGCTCTTTTAATAAGCTGTCACGTAAGAATCAATTCAATTGCCTGCAGCAGAACACAAAATTTTTGTTTTCTCTGCAGTCTACTGTGCTTTGCTTATTCATATATATATATATATATATATATATTGAACTATCTATCCGGTAGACACAAGTGTTCACTTCGGAAGAAGTTAGGAGCCCAAGTTCCAAGCTAAGAGGCTGGGCAAAAGGGATAAAAAGGAGCAGGAAACGAAACGCAGGATAAGGGCATGAATAAAGGGGGAATGGAATTGCCACACAATGGACTCCCTTATGTTTTCAAAAATTACATTTTAAGTTACGAAATTACAGTACAAAATTGAAATATCTTATTTCAGCGCTGCAATTGGAGGCAATTTTTCATGCGTATAAAAAGGGGATGCCATGGCAGGACGAAGGGCTCAGGGCGCAGGGCAGAGGACGAGAAGCTAACGAGCCGCATGGCAGACAAAACTTTGCTGAATTTATCAACGAGTGTGTGTGGATCTCTGTATCTGTATCTTTTGCATTTATGAAAATGTAATAATAACAAAAGACGCAATGCAGACGCGGCAGAAGTAAACTGGAAACAAACACAGAACCTTCAGGACGAAGGACGTGCAGCAACCAGGATGTGTGCGGCATATGTGTGCGTGGCAACCCTAGACAAACATATGGTACACCGAATGCACAATGTATCTGCATCCGCAACTGCATAAATGTATCTCTTTCTCTCTGTCTGCGTCTGCGTCTGCATCTAGCAAAACTTCTGCTAACGAAATTTGCAACTTTAAAAATTTGTCAAAACAAATTATCATAAAATGCTCATCAGTCGGCGAAAATAAAACGAACGAAGGCAAAGAAATGTAAGGATTGTTTCTTGAAAGGGCCAAAGGAAAAGAACAATTAAGACTTTTGTACGTCAGATAAATAATCCTTTTAAAAATATTTTATTAATTCATATTGCCAATAATGACTCAGAATTTTCCAGTTTTCTTAAAGATTGGATAACAAATAACAATTTGCGAATATCAAAATATTGACAGTCTCAACTTTGATTGCAGGTATGATAGGAATTAGAAAACAAACTCATCGAAGTATTATATCCCATATTTAGACCATTTTTGGCTTAGTTATGGGCAAAATTCTATCATCTTGAGGAGAAAAATCAGGACAAGACAAATTTCACATTTTGGATGAGGGTAACATCATCTTTTTTCTGCTATAAATTACAAAAACTATAGTAAACATATTATTATGTGAATGCACATGAAATTCGAATTACGAATTCAGTGATGTATGCCATTCCATATTTTCATGAGAAAAAATCTGATTATATTTCCTAGAAATTCCTGTTTAAGGCAATAGGTGAGAACGTAATTAAATTGAACTTACCTCGTAACGAAAACGCTGATCCGAAGTGAATTAAAATAAATCCACTGCAGTTTTCCTCTGCCATTTCTGTAGCCTATATATATATACACATATATATATATGTTTACTGTCCCCATGGAAAGCAAATGAAACTCCAATTAGCTGCACAAATCAAAGTGAGACAGTTTCGTGCGAAGGACAAGTGGCATCAAGAACATTGGGAAATGAAACCAGAAGCCAGAGACGAACTAAAAATAAAATACAAAAATCAAAAAAAAGTTACAAAAAAGTTAAAGCCGCGTGTCCAGAAAAGTTCTGGGCATTAAATTGATAGAAAATGGGGAGGCGGATGGGGGTACGAAAAAAAAAAAATAAACCAAATAATTGGAAGGGGTACTTTTTGGAGGGGGCTTGAGAGTTTGCTGCGATATTTTGCCTTTGATGGAAAAACAATTTTTCTACTCCATTTCACGCGTTCAAGGCAGAACCATAAAAGCTGGTCAGGAAAGAGAGAGGGAAACACGCGGACAGAGAGAGAGATGGGTATATTGGCGGGGGAATCGTCAGCGTAAAGATGCCGCCAGACCGATAAACGCTAGAAATGAAATAACAATAAAAAGCAATTTTTTATATCGAACACCAAACTGAAGTTTAGCCTTCTCTCTTTCACCACCACACCATCCCTCTCTCTCTCTCTCTCTAACTGTGTCCGGCGAAAGTTTGTTTAGTTGTATATGTTGACCCACTTTACTTTGGCCTTGTTGTTGTTACCGTTCACTGGTTTCTTGCAGTGTACAAATTTCGATTTGTGTCTAAAATATATTAAAAAAAAAATACCTCATCATTAGCCATTAGCTCATGATTGGAGTTTAGCAACGCGAGATACAATCGATATTAGCATTTGTTTTAACAAACAAATCGTTAGAATTATACTTTATAATTTTAGGTATATAAATATATATAAATATATTATTTATACTTTCATATATATAGAAAATATTTTATTGGGTAATTTTGTAATTTCTAAATTTTGAATGCAGTATTTCCTTGAGCTTAAAATACACCCAGTGTACGAAATGTAAGTCCCATTGACTTGTTTGTCATTAGCAGCTCAATTAATTCATAAAGGGAAGCTGCTGCCCATCCGACGTGTATGTATGTATGGTATCCACAAGTTCATTAGTTAGAACCTGCTGGCTTAATTTTATTCCACACACTCGCACACATTGTTCCTAGGACGGGTTTTTTTCTCGAACCCCTTCAACCCGAAAAGAGCGCTAAAAACTTTTGTCAATAAAAGAAAACATTTACAAATAACAACAAAAAATGTCGAGTTAAGACGGGTTTTTTTTATTTGCTGTCGATGCTTCTATTTGTTTGCCTGTTTGTTGACCAAATGTGGAGGTTGCTGATATTTTTTTTTTCTAGACTGAAGGGGAGTCGACAAGTGGTCAGAACAGGAGGTGGTGGCAGATGTCCAAAAAAATCAAAGGGGGTAAGAGGGGCGAAAAAACGTGGCGTCCAACGGGCAGATTCCAATTGACCTACAGCGCGTTCATTTGAAGTTCAAAACTTGACCATGAAGTGGCAGATGCTCAGCGGAAATCAAAACCGAAACTATAAGCCGGGGATTCATTCGAATTGCCACTAATGCTAAGGTCGATGATGGGAATTACACAAAAAAACTACAGTCATTCAGAAGAATGAATACATTTTTTTTTTAGATAAAAAGTGTTAAAGCGGGGGATTTGTATAAGCACGAAATTAGACAGATCTTTAATTATTTTTTGAATACTTTTTCTTGACTATTAAATCTTTATTATATAGAAGAGGTTGTTTATCACTTAAACATGCTTATTTAAATTAAAATCAATTTATTCGATTAATTTTTTGTATATTCCCAGTTGGCTCAACAGATGGTCTTTGTTTAATTATTGATTATCTGGACACCATTTCACCTGGCTGTGCTTTCTCTGTTCGAATGGTGGGGGGGAATCTTAAATGATTCAAATATATGCCTGGCTAATCAGTAAACCTTTCTCCTCATACCAAAAATCCCCCTTAGAGAAGAAAGAGAAACCCTCTAATGATGCGGGGAAGCCTCAAAATATTATCCATTTGAATTTGTGATCGAGACAGGAAAAAACCACCATCGAAAAGTGATCAGTGTTTGTTTATTGTTCCCCTCTTCCAAAACGAGTTAAACGTGAATTTTGTTATTTTTTTTTTCGGGGGTCTGTCGCGTTGAACAATAGGCATATTGACGATTGGTCGTCAAGTCGGGCGTTAATTATTGATTAGTTTAAAGCCCGATTAACAAACCGGCAACGGGCTTAGAACGAAACGGATCGTCCGACGCCCAACAACTTCCATCGCGCTCTCCAAAAAAACAAAAAAAAACGCGTTAGAAAACAAGAACATCACGATAGCTACACGTAGAAAAATCACATAGAATTCCTAATTGTTTGTGTGACTGTAAGGTTTCATGTATATTTTGTATTCTATATTCAGTGCAATAAAGATAGGAAGTGTCTAAAATAAATCAAAAAAATCATGTTAAACAAAAATTCGTAAAACTTTAGTGAACATTATTTTTTGAACCGTTTTTTTTTAACTTGTGCAAAAATAAAATTGAAACAGTGACACTTGATTTAATTTTAAAAGTTTACGAAAAGATTAATGAAAATTAAAACATTTTCGGTTTAATATTGAATAGTTCGACTTCAAGCTCTGAAGACCATTTTTGTTTTCAATTTTTTTAAAATTTAATCTTAAGTACAAATTGTTTTTTTTAGTGCACTAAGAGAGGAAGAGTTGCGGCGAAGAACCGGCGGAACAACAACCTGAACAGCGACACCGCAAAAAAACACGGTGAAGAGACAATAAAAGTCGGCCAGCGGCCAAAAACGCGCTCATTGCGTGCGCTGTTTTCGCAACGGCAACGGAAAATTAGCTACCCAGTTGAGGTGCGGGAGGGATAGCGAGCGTACGGTCGTCATATACAAAATATACGGATACGGATTTTCAGAGTACGAGAAGGTACGGGTGTACGTTAAACAGGAGGCAGAAGTACGGATACGAAGCCAGGATGCGACACGCATTTGTTGGATTAATTGTGTGCTGGCTGGCAGTTTGTCAACCGCAAGGTAAATATTTTTGGAATACGCCACGGCTCCGGGAATCGGGTATAGACAGGATAATGATAGGATATATACCCCCGCGCACACATACACATACACATTCGCACATACACACACACACACACACACGGTGCCCTTGTTATTACAGCAATAATTGCAAAATTATCGCTGGATTTTGCGCCTACGTGCGTTGCATTGTCAACAGAAAAACAGAGGGAACTCTGTTCTTTCACAAAAGGCAAAAGAGAAGGATATAATGAAAACGAAAGAGATAGATAGATAGATAGAAGGAGAGGCGTTCAAAGGCCTAAAGATTTATACAAATTCTAACCGTTCTAGCCGCCTTTAAAACCTTATTATTGGGGAAACACGAGGCTTTAGAGGATCAGTGGATTTGTAGATGTTTTTATTTCACAGTATCAGTTATAACCCTTTAAATGTGAATATTTAATGATATTAGAACTTAGAAGGTTTTCACCATATCAAAAGGTAAATCATGGACTTGATTTTATGATAGTATAGCTCCTATTATATATATTTTTTGTACGTTTTTTTTAATCGCTTAAGGAAAAAGACAGAGAAGCCAATATATTTCTATGACTTTTAATTCAGCCAATAGCTATTGCCAGATTTCTTACCACAAAGACAATCTTCAAAATAGACACTAAAAAAAACCAGTTAGAGATCTTTCCAACTTTCATCTCCTTCATCGCAGCCAGCCATCTCTTTCGTTTCTGTGCAATCTAACAAAAATATGTACGAGTATAGAAAACAAATGCGAACAATACTCAAGAAGTGTAGAATAAAATAAAATGTGTGGAACAAGTTTTCCGAAAAGATTATAAATGCATGGCGTTGGGGGATTTTTGTTTACTTTTGACTGCTGTCAGGGCAACTTGCGGAACTTTCCACTGATGTTGGTTGGCACTTCTTTACGCTTGTTTTAGTTGCAAGTAAAAATGTTGAAATGTCTTTTCCACCGACAATCGCATAAAACCCCAAAACCGATTACCTATGATGGCTTCATTTTAAAATTTGCATGCAAAGAATCGGAATTATTCGACAATTAAAATACATTTTGAGCAAAATGTTTAAAACGAAAAGAGGGAAGCGTTTGAGTAAATACAACGTGTCGAATGGGTAATAAATATCACTTATGCGCAGTGTGGGCGTAAAGTTTTCTTTAAAAAGTGAGGAAAAATAGTATTTTCCGAAAAATTTCTAAAATATTTTAAATATTTTAGCTGAGGCGCAGTTCGGAGGATTTGGATTCCAGCCGCAGTTTGCCTACCAGCAGCCGCAGTTCCAACAGGTATACCGTCCACAACAACCACAGGTGTACCGCCAACCGCAGGCTTATCAACAACAACCTCTGGTCTATTACCAACAGCCCCAGCCGCAGGTGTACCAACAACAGCCGCAGGTTTACCAACAACAGCCGCAGTTTTACCAACAACAACCACAGCAGCTACGCCAAAGGCAGGGATCCGTATCCAAGGCAAACACGAATGCGTACGAGCGGCAGGTGGACTTTGGCAATAATCTGGAATACACCCAGGGTCTGTCTAACTCCAAGGCGGTGACCAAACAGAACGGCCAACGAGTGGTGACCAAGAGTCAGGCCCAGACTCGAGATGTGGATTTGGGAGGTCTCCAGTTGGGCAATACTCTGACTAGGACCAAGACAAATGCCAACGGACAGGTTTCTCAGGGTATTGCCGATCAGTTCAGGATCGGAAACGTGGGTCTTGGAGCTTCGCTCTCACCTCAGAATCTTCAGAATGGCTTTGGGCTGCATCGTGCTGCCGATGGTGATCTGAGCTTGGGTTTGGGTTTCCTTAATCTTGACTTGGACCGCAATGTGGCCAACACAAATACCCTAGCGCAGGCCCAGGTCAATGCCCAAGGTAAGGGCGCCAAGGCGGGTTCAAGCAGTAACACTCAGTCAAATACCCAGAAATATGGCGGCGTCACCGTGACTGATACTCGCTCCAATTCGAATGCCTTTGGCAAGACGCAAAGGGGTCAGACCTCGGCCACTACCAGTGGTTTCGGCGGCAATGCGGCCACTAATGGCCAGAGCTTTGGTGGTCCCTTCCAGCGGGTGGTTCGCCAGAACAGGCGACCCAAGCGGAAGGCCCAGTTCGTGCCATTCGGTTATCCAGGTGGTGGCGGTTTCCGCCCCGGACCCTTCGGCTTTAGTCCACTGGATAGACCAAGAAGACAGTTCGAAGGAGGATTCGGCGGACCTGGATTCGGCGGACCAGGATTCGGCGGACCAGGATTCGGTGAACCAGGCTATGGTGGAGGTGAGTCTTTGAGTTATATATAATATATATAGTTTACACGTGATATCACAATAAACATTTCTATTCACGTTCTTTTAAAATATTACGTATACGCAGTTTTAATATTTTTCTTAAATTTTGTTCATCCCAATTAGGCCAAGAATTTGGAGGAGGACCTGGTTTCGGTGGACCTGGCTTTGAGGGATCTGGACCCGCTTTCTATGAACAGCCTCAGCAACAGCACCAGCAGAATCACAAGAAAAAGGGTAACAAGAACCAGGCACATGGAAATGCACATGCCCAAGGTGGACCTGGCTTCAATCAGCAGGCATCGACGAACAATCATGCCAGCAATGGCAACACTGGAAGTAGCTCCATCAGTTCAAATCTGGCCCAGGACGGTAGCAGTGGCCAAGTTAGTTCGGCCAACACAAATACCCACCAGGGACAGACTGCCAATGGAGGCTATGAGAGCGATCAGAACTCTCAGAGCCAGTCGTTGAACTTCAGACCTGGTCAGCAGCAGGCTTCCAGTGCAAATGCCAATACCCAGCACACACAGCAGGGAGATCGCGATACTTACTCCTCGAACAGTGGATCAACTTCCACGAACAACAACCAGTACGGTTCCTTGACGAATACGGCCAATACGAATTCGCAAGTGGTCCGGGATGGCAATACTCAGGATGCCACCAGCGATGCCAACAGCCAGAGCATCTTTCAGGGCAACAATGGCCAAGGTGATGCTTCCGCCCAGACGAATGCCCAGACAAGCAGCCAACAGGGTCCCGGAGGAATTGTGACAAACTCGGCTTCGAGCAGTGCCACTGCCACTGCCCAGAATGGTCAATCAGCCAATGCCAATGCCAATGCAAATGCCGGCGGTGGTCCGGGTGGTGCTGGAGCTGGTGCCAATGCCGGTGGTTTCGGCAATGGCGGTGGTGCAAATTCTGATGCCAATAGCGGTGGTTTCAATGGCGGCGGTGGTGCTGGAGCAAATGCCGGTGCCAACGGCGGTGGATTCGGTGGATTCGGCGGCGGTGGTGCCAATGCAAATAGCAATGCCTTTGGCGGTAACTACGGCGGCTTTGGATTCTTTGGACGTTAGTTTTAGATATTATTTTTTTTTTATAAAAAAATCACACCTCTTTTTTTGTCACCCACGAAAAGCACGAGAATAAAAACTGCATTTTGTTAATTTAAATCACATTTCTAAGCACCGTGTATATACAGTATATGTTAAACGTCACTTATGATATTGCTATGAATGGAGTGATGCACAATTCCTGTTTATTTTCTGCTTAGATTTTCCTATTTAATATTATTAATTCAAATCCCTAGTTCGTCATCGTGCCCAGAAAAATATTCGATTGCAAAGATGGCAGCAAAGAACTCAAAACGAAACTTCATCTAGAAGGTCATCTATCAAGGATAACTTTGAGTATATTTACTTAAACCACTCATCGTCACGTCTAGAAGATCTGGAGCCTGAGAGTTCTGGACAGGATTTGGATGGGGAAAGGACACCTCTTAATACGTCAGTGGATACTTTTGGACCTTATGATAGTACCCAGCGTCAGGGAAGAACCTTCGGTGTGATCTATGACTGGATTAGTGGACTCTTCAATTCCTGTGTTTCACCCTGCACCTTGGAGGCTTTTCAGAAGCAAACGTGCTGTGAAACTTATGTAGTGGATCCCTCTTATCCACCGCCACCGCCACCTCCTCCCCCTCCACCACCACCACAAACTTGTTGTGCTCCTGTAAGACCCCCTTATCCCATACAACCAGCACCGCTACCAAGGCCACTTCCTCCTCCACCACCACCACCACCAATTCCCTATCCCTATTCACCCATCTATCCTAATAAGAAAACGCCCGTTGTAGTAGTTGCCACGCCCATCAATTGCTGTACGGTGTGCACATTTACGTACTACGGACCTCCGCCCTGTGGGCGGTTTTACAACAACAACACCAACAGTGATGGCAAGAAAGTCACTATCTATGTGCCACCGCCGTACTATGGTCGTTGATCGGAAATAAACTTCGACACAATTAGACAATAATTGCACGGAAATTTGTATAGGTTTTTTTTTTGGAAAAAAGTATTAAAAAGTATTCTTAAAAATAATTAAATTATTTCTTTTAGAAACAAAGTATTAATAACGAGTGCCAGAAAGTCTTCCTTTTACTTGAAGATTAATCAGAAAACTCAAAGGCATTTGAGAACATATTAAAGAGCCCAAAAGTATGTCACAATAATAATCAGAATATTAAATTGCTCACTTCTAGTCATTTAAATATATTAATATCAGACGGATGTCTATTTCTAGAATGCCCTATATTTCATCCGAGAAAATTCAGATTATTCAGATTTCTTGAAATTAAAAAAGAAGAATGCATTCGTAAAGTTGAAGAACCGGAAGGCTTTTGAGTGTGGCAATATTTTTACCGTACGCCTGTCCCATGAGGTCCCTTTGTTTTGTTTGTTCTCCGCCTGGCTAATTCGGAAAACGCTTGCATAATCTCCGTGGGTGGGGGCTTTGTTGCTTGGGGGAATCCTGTCAAAAATGCGGCAAATAAGACACACGACAGGGCAAACGGGACGGGGTATACGGTGTATACATATATAGGTAGCTGCACTGTTAAAGAAATAAAGTTCAGATACTCTAACCGAGAAACATGTATTCTTAAAGAGATAATAATCTCTACAAAAAGGGAAATCTATTGCCTGTGATTATTTGTTTTCTTTTTTTTAAATGGAATTTTAAAATCATTATCTTTTTATTTGATTTATTCATTCCCTAAATTTTTAACCAATCATTCATTCCCATCTTCAACTAGATTTTGTTTAAGGACATCCCCTATTCGTGGATTCATCATGAAAATGGCAGGTTAACGTATCCCAACTTTGTGTCGCTTTTGTTGTGCAGCTGGCTTTCTTTGGGCCTGTTGTGCCGTTGACTTTTGCGCCTAAGCAAAATTTGTGCCATGTGTTTTGTGGCTGCGTTGTTTGTTGGCTCAAATTTGCTGGCAGGCTGCCACACGAGGACTCTGTGGGACAGCGATTTGGACTGGGATCGGGACACCGAAACTGAAACTGAGACTGAAACCGAGAACGTGGTCGGGGAACGAGAACGAGAATGAAGACAAGGATGGGGCTGAGGCACAGACAGGACATGTCACGTCAGCGGCACAAAGCCCAAGCACAAAGGCCTGATAACTGCAGTCGCCTGATAAGCAGCGCCCCAAACAAGGACCAGCCACCCACTCGACAGCACTTAAAGAAATCAACTAAAAGAATGTTTTACTAAACAAAAAAAACAATACTCTAAAATAAACGTTTCTTCTAGGGGTTGTTCTAGGGGTTCCAAATTGATATTCCCAGTTTCAACCCCAATTTCTCCAAGTGTAGCCTTCTTTTTGCTGGCAATCCACTGGAGGCCCTTTGCCACCCGGAAGCACAAGTCGCCCCTTTTGTCATTTCGCTCATAACGTTAATTTATATTCAGTTCAGTCTAAAAAAAAAAAAAGAATAGCCAGTGGTAGTGGTAGGTGTAGAGAAACCCATGTTACAGCCATCGAGAGGAGGAGTATAGAAGAAGGTGGATAAGTGGGTGTCTAGATTAAAGGATCCTAGTTGTAGAACTGCTGGCGACGACGCAGCGCTGGAGCGGCAGCCACGAAGCGGCGTCCTGAGTTTCCGCCGTGGTGTCCGACGGAGGAGCCCTCGTTGGCGGAGTACAGGAGCAGGGGGATCTCCTCAACGCTGGTCTGCTGCTGCTGGGCAGAGTTGCGGACTCCAGAGCGGAGCAGTTCATCGGCAGAAAGTCGGCGCAGGGCAGGGGCAGCAGGAGCAGCGGCGGCAGGTCCGGCAGCGGAGGCACCATCCAAAAGCTGATCCTCATCGTTCTCTGGCTGCTCTAGCACCAAATCCTCGGGCTGGGCCACAGCAATGCTGTTACCTACTGGGGTCTCGCCTTCATTATCAGCAGCCGAGATGGAGCTGCTCTGGAGCAGAGCCTCGATGTTCTCCAGGTTAGACAGGCCGTTGATTTGCAGCTGATCGTGCAGCTCGGCGGGAATGGCGATGGCCTGGACATCCTTGTGACCCGAGATTCCATTGGGCGTCGGGATGAACTGAACATTCTCTGGGATCTGATCGGTGGGATAGACGGGCACCAGCTCCGCCTCGTTCTCGTTACTCGACTTCAGCAGGATCAGGGAAATGGGCACGATCTTCTTGAACTTCAGCAGAACCAGCTTCTTAATGGCCACGGCACCGGGGAAAACGCGACCCTGGGGTCCGCTGTGAGGCTTAGAAATCAGAGCCCGCTGCTCGTAGTGCTGCCTGCGGTGTCCACCCACGTGACGAGCTGATGATTTAAAAAGGTAAGAGATTAGGGGATGGGATAGGGATTCGGGGTCCATCAGGTTTGATGGGTCAATGGGATAAATCATGGCTACTCTAATGTCCCTAGTACATCTATTTTAGTCCAATTACTTTTGAAAAGTCCGTAGAATAGAAAAAAAAACTCTAAATTCGATTAAGATGTAAAGTTTTGAATATTAAAATCTATTTTACAATATTTTTTTACGTTCCAAAACCAATTTTTCTCAATCAATATTTGCCGAAGAACAATCAAAACTATTTATTAATTAATACCCTCGAGCTAAATACAATACCAGAATGTATTTTCAATAATGATGGGACTTAAAGAATCAAAAAAGATGATTAACTACTACCAAGATCTGTCCCCTTAAAACACAAACTCACCTTCGCAGACGGCCAAAATTGCCAGGCCGATGGCCAAAAGGGCTACCAACTTAATTGCCATAATGACGGGGATCTGGAAACTGCTGAATGGACTTGGTCTTAAGACTGGAAGTGGACTTGGACTTGGGTCTGTCGCTGGACGAGGGCCTCTATTAAATGGTCTAGCAAGTGCTCGTCAAAGACATTTTATACAGGGGAGGAACATTCACCTGGCCGCAGAAAAAAAAGCTGCGAAACAGCGGAGACACATAAAAATCACCCGAAAAACAAAAGAAATTAGGCAGCCGGGAAGGCAGAACAAAGTAAAATGTGGCGAAATTGGATGGGGACTGGGACGATTGGCAAATTATTAAACTATGCAAATGTCCAAATCAGTCGGCTGATTTATTCACAAAAAACCAGAAACAGAAAACCGGCAAACAGAGAACCAAACAAACCAAAACTGAATTCCATCCCATCTCCGAGATCCCAGAACGTTGACTTTTGGTGGCTCCATTTCCATTTCTAGTTGCAGTTGCCTCTTACCAAAAATCTTTCAAAAATTTGCATTTTGGGTCGTCTTAAAAACACGGAAAAATAAAAAAAAAAAAAAAAAATAGTAAAAAAGGTAAAGAAAAGAAAAAGAACCGTCTGGCCGAATCTTGAGCCAATTTTGAGGTCAAAAGTGAGATTTTCAATAAGTCAGCCGTTTCCATTTGTCAATGTCCGAAGTGGGCGAGGTCCCACTGTTCTTCCCCTCTCCGAGATGTCAGAGTTCGAGGCGTATTTGGGCCAAATTCACATACCCACATATACTCGTTTATATATGCAGTTTTGGCCAGCATGTGTTCCCCATTCGGATGGAACAACGGGCATTTAAATCAATCAAATGGATCGAGTCCATAGTGCGAAAATTTATTCTTTTCTCCACCATTCTTCTCATTGGAAGTTAGGTCCAACTTAGTGCCAAAGATTAAATAGTTAACCCATCGAACTATAAGTTGAGAGCCATAGAAAATAATGGCCAGATGGATTATGATTTAATGGGATTTATGGCCGGTTGAATACTATTTTAGTTTCTCCCATTGTTTGATATTTTAAATCAACAATCTTTCTCTCTTGGGGGCCTTTGTTTAAAGTCAAAATAAATTTAAGAGATTAGGTGCGGCGTCAAAGAAATACAATGCGTCTTAAAATAGTTTTAAAAGGCCGCCTAAAACTTGGCTGTAAAAAATGTTCATATCAAATGTTGATGAATTGCTTTCAAGACTTGATAAGGTGGTTTTAAATAAGAAGAGATATTTCTAGCCGTGATGCATAGCCTTTTAATTGATTTTTACTATTTTTTTAATAAATTATATTTAATCTGCCAATTACTATATAACTTATTAAAAACTTTAAAAGGAAATTCAATTTGAAATCGGTATATTGGAGTAGATAAGTTTATCAATTTAATGTTTCCTTTTTGAAAATTGAATACAAAACTAACTTAGCCAATCGTAACTATTAAGGACCTTCACTGAATTTGGAATTCAGAGTGCAACAATTTTATAAACATGACTTGTAAGTCCATTAAATAGTTGATTAAAGGCATATTAAGTTGAAATTAAGTTTAAATACTTATTTTTAGAGAATTTTAAGATAAGTCATTGAAAATGTATAATAATGTGTCCAACAATATTTATAGAATTTAATAAAATTTCATACGTGATATCAAAGATAACTTTATGAAAAAAAACCCCATACATTTATGTGACGCAGGTTTTTGCGAAGAAAAAGTTTCCCAAAGCATAAATCGGTTAAATCGACTTATTCCCGATATTGAACCCCTGGCCAAAATATTAATTATATTCTTTAAACAAGATATAGTATTGGAAACCAATCGATTTCCTCAGCCCGAGATCTCATTTGGAATTCGGGCCACTGACCACGGGTGGTATGATTAATTTATGTGCTGTATTTTTTCGTGCTCCATTTTTTGTTTTCTGCATTTTTTGCCAGCCTCTGCCGATGGTTTATCTAATTTATGTTATTGCCACGGCAATTATTTAAATTATCCAGAGCTACCGTTGGCCATTATTGTAAAGACGAGGGCGGTCTGGGAAACAAAAAGGAAAACATATTTGCGGCCTATTATGGGCGACATAAACAAATGTTTTAATAACCAAATTATGCGGAGAGGAACGCAATGTATTCATTAACTATGAGGCCTGGACAAGCAAAAGAGATCCGAGCCAAGTTATTTGATGCTAATGGAAATGCATAAAAAAATCATAAATACTCATTAGCAAAGTGTTATTTTTTTTTGTTGTGTTTTGTTGGTGTATGGCGAAGAAAGTTGCCCCCAAGTCGGGGTCATCTCAACTCATCTCACCTAATCACTTCGCGGGGTCAACATATTTCGAAAGTTACTGTTGTAGGGAAAGTTCTATTTTTGGTACCATAGACTAAGAAAAGTTCCCGGAATTGGCACAATGCTCCAGATTCGGTGAAAAGAAATCCGCTGGGCGGAAATTACTAGTAAATTCCGGGAACTTATTTTGACTAAGATCTTTCTTAATTACTTTCTTCAATGAATCAGAACTAATCTAGGTACATTTTTGAAAAAATATTCATTAATCAATCAATAATCAATATTCATCAATTAATCTAGATATCAATGTCCTTTTTGTTTACAACTAAAAAATAATTAAGGATTTTTTGGATTTCCCCTGTAAATAAATATATGTATGCTAGATTATTCTAATTTTAATTTGTAAAAAAAAATATAGTTAGATAAATACATTATTATCAACAACCATATAATCTATAATAAAAATCTTTACATATTATTATATTCTTATAATTTTTACAACAAGCTATAGTTTTTTTTATTATGTCTTCTTTATAATTATTGTAAAAGGGATCGGAATTTTTTGTGGCCCAGATAGATCTTAAAGGGTAACCATTAACTTAACAACAAAGTCCACAAAAGAAATTCCAGCCTAGGCGTGGTCATTTAGGCCATAATATTTACGATTCTAAGCACGAACTTTTTTTTTTTAACAAAAAACATATTTTAAGCCCATCGAGACCATTTAGCAACGCGACCTGCGACCCGATCTCTTTTGGCCAGCGGTCAAGAAACCGCAAATTGATTTACAGCCCCAGTGGCGAATCAAACCGAATCAAAGAAGAGAGAGAGAGAGAGAGAGAGCTTTGCATTAAATGGCTCTCCACCAGATCGATCGCTCTTTTGAAATTTTTGGCCAATACGAGCTTTTGGCCAAAACCGTTTTGTAGACGGCACATAAAAAGCTCGGGTCGTGTCGCTCCCCCAACAGTACGGCTAAAGAAACCTCTGTCTGTGGACCCCCAGAAAGCGAGACTTTGAGATTGTAACTCTTAGGAACCCGACCTATCGAAAAGTTCAGAATTCCCCAGTGCGTGCGTGATAGTTGAAACCCGAAGAAAATCCCAACAAGCCATGACCAAGTTCGTGGTGGTGGGCCTGTGCCTGCTAATGGCCTTTGGCCAGATGGTTTCCGTTTCCGCCGTAACCGAGGCTCCAGAGGTGGAGCAGTCGACGGAGTCTCCCATCGCCGATATGGCGCTGATTGGTAGGACCACGGATCTAAAGTTTCCATCCCCCCAGAATCCCCATTAATATCTCTGCCTGTGTTTTTCTTTTTTTTCATGTGCTGTGTGTTTTTGTTTTGGTTTTTATTTGTGATTTCACTTTTTTTTTTTCGTTTATGTTTCTGTTACTGTGAATTGTGTGTGCCTGTGGAGCAGATGAGATACCTACGGCTCCCAAAACGCCTACGGAGAAGCCACCCGTTGTCCAGGATGCCCCCATTGCCATTCCAGTGGTGGTGGAGGCTCAGGAGAAGTCCGCTCAGATTGCTCCACAACCACACACTGTGGCTGACTTCATTATCCACCCGCTGATCGCCTTCAAGCCGCGTCAGGCTTCCCTAGAGGAGATCCAGGGCAAACAGGCACCGTCAACACCTGGAGCAAGTGCACCCGCCTCCCCTGGCACATGGCTGTTCGGCATGAATCCCGCCCAACAGCTAGGTTCGTCGTTCTCAACCCTGGCCGGTTCCGTTTCCGGTTGGTTCAACGATCGCTTGGCTGCCGCTGGACAACAGCTACCCAGTTTGGTTGAGTCTCCGGTGAGGGAGTCGACCACCAGCACCAGCAGCACCACCACGACTACCACCCAGCGCCCAGATATTGTGGTGCGAGTGCAGCAGCGTCCCCAGAGGAATGGAAACCGCAACGGTAACCGTAATGGGAATGGCAATGGTAACTTCAATGGCAACCTCAATGGAGGCAACGGAGGAAACCTGAACAACAAGAACAGGCGTCGTCAACGACCCAATCGCTTTAACAACCGTCTGGACTCGTTCGAGGATGACTACTACGAGGACGACTACTTCCAGGGCAACCGTTTCGATGAGGAGTTCGACGATGACGAGGACGAGCAGAGCTTGGAGCAATTCGAAGATGATGACTCCTTGGAATTGCGTCCTCAGCAGAAACCTAAGCGCAAACAGACCCTGGTTCAGTCCCAGAATCAGCGCAGGAAGTTCCAGCAGGAGGAACAGGTGGTCAACCAGAAGCGTCGCCAGACTTTAACCCAGAACAAGAAGCCCAAGGCCCAGAAGAAGCCAGTTCAGCCAGTGGTAGAGGAATCTCAGGATGAGGAGGAGTTGGATGATGATGAGAACGAGGACGATGATGAGGAGGAGGATCAGGTCCAGGATGACGATAGCCAGGAGCCTGATTTCCATCCAGAACCCATCTTTGGCTCTACTTCGACCAGGCGTAGCCAGAATCAACCCAACTTTATCCAGCGCGGCCAGCAGAGCATCATCAGCCAGATCAGGCAGTTTACTCGTGGTCAGACGCCCGGAGAACTAGCCAACACTCTGCGCAGGACCCCCGTTTCCACGTCTTCGGGGTCTTCGAAGACTCGTCGTCCCCAGCAGACCACGTTCTTAGTCAACCGCAATGGTCAGACCGTGTATCTGGCTCCTGAGCTTCTTAACCTTAACTCTCCCTATCCCTATGCCTATGTCCAGGGTCAGACCAAGAAACAGAGGGTTCCCGTTAACGGTGCCTTTCCCCAGCCTCCCCTAACAGTGCCAGTGAGGCGTCAGGGTCGTCCCACCCAGTACATCACCATTCCCTGGAGTCAACTGGGTCTCTCGCCACCAGAACAGCAATCGGTCGTCTCACTGGCCGAGGGCATCCAGGCACAGCCCCTCATCCTGAACATCCCCCAGAGCGCCATAAGCCCGGTGAGGGGTAGCAACTCGGGATCCGCTAGTGGACAGAAGAAGAAGCGTCCCCAGTTGACCGCCTCGGCAGTGCCTCTGCTGGCCGACGCCTCACTGATGGATATCTTCCAGCCACCCCAGATTCCACCATCCAGAACCGGAACTCCTTCCACCGGATCCGCCATTAAGCCCATCTCTGCCCAACCTGTTCTGATTGCCGCCAAGCCCGTTAAGGCCGGCGGTGTGGGAACAACCGGACTGCTGCCCACTCGCATTCGCCCCGGAACGATTGTGGAGAAGGCCCCTGCAATGGAGGCGTTGGAAAAGCCCGTGGAGGCTATCGAGGTCAAGCCAGAGCAAGAGATGATGGCCACAGAGCCGGCTGTACCTCAAGTGGCTGCCAGTAGCCCCGAGCAACAGGAGTTCATTCTCGTCGGCGATGATGACGAGCCTGGTGTGTCCCGCCACATACAGCCAGCTTACGGAGATGCCCGCTATGTGTCCTATGGCGATTTCCATCCCTATTTCGATCTGCTCACTCAGAATAGGCGTTTCGCTTTGAGGAAGAGCGGTAGGTCGTTGGAGAATCCCGAGGAGCAGGTTGCCCCCAGGGCACTGACGACTTTTGGCAAGCAGCCAGCTCAGAAGGAGGAACTTCAAAAGGAAGAAATCCAAAAGGAGGAAATCCAAAAGGAGGAACTCAAAAAGGAGGAAATCCAAAAGGAAGAAGTCGAAAAGAAGGAAGTCCAAAAAGAGGATGTCCAAAAGGACGAGATTAAGAAGGAGGAGCCCCAGCAGGAGAATATCAAGAAGGAGGAACCCCAGCAGGATGAAATTAAGAAAGAAGAGCCCCAGCAGGAGGAAATCAAGAAGGAGGAACCCAAAGTTGAGGAGCCCAAGTCTCTGGAGCAGTCCAAAATCCCAGAATAATTTTGTAAACAAAAAATCCTCACAGAAAAATCGAACCCAAACGAACTCGAAATGAATTAATGAAGAAAACAAAGAAAATTATAAACAAAACCAAAACCAAACGATTTTCAATCCACGTGAAAACCACAAAGAAATAAATTTTTTTTTACATTTTTTTTTGCGTGTATTATAATGCCTGACCAAAAAGTTGAAGAGCCAGCGAAGAAGAGAGAAAACTATATTAGCATAACTAAAAATGTATACATTTTTTTTTGAATGCCTATTTGGCCAGTTGAAAGTTCAAGTTTTCGTGTGTCGAGATCTGCAAGAGCAATGAACCTCAAAAAGAACCGCAAACCTGATCTCCAACCTTTAAACGATGGTTTATTAATGAGGCCCGTGCGCTTTGACCGATTTAAATATGTATCTAACATCTTATAACCGCTTCTTTTTTTATGGCTTTCCATAATTAACATTCGCCAAAGGCAAAAGAAATTTGCTGATGGGGTTAAGCACAAAGAATTGCCGAATTAATCATATATCGATATGCTAATTAGTTGACCGATTAACGGTATTTGGCGTAGGTACAGTTGCTTGAGCATTTAAATCGATCGGCAGACAACCCTGCCTAGCGGTTTTATAGCAGCTAGCTTTTCAAGAAGTTTTGGAACTTCGAAAAGGAGATTTTTGAGGTTCTCAAAAGCCTTTAGCTTAAAGAAAGGACAAAACACTTTATAGAATGTTAGATTTTTAGAATCACAGATTTTTGAATTTAAAGCTTTTGTAAGGATCTTAATACGAAAAATATTTCCTAAAAGCTAGACATATTTTCTGAAAGCTTTTTGCTTAAATAAAGCGTCGAATATAACTATAAAATAGCGTTGAAAGCTGATTAAACTATAAAGCTAAACATCGAAAAAAAATTGTAAAGCTTTGTTTGTATTTTTGGCTTACTAAAGTATCTAAAAGTTATATTTCTAAATTTTAATTAGAAGTACTTATAATAACTATTTGTTAACCATCAAACACAAGCAAGAACATTTTTTCCTAGGAGTTCTAAAGTAAACTAATTTTTGTTTTCCACATTTAACGTATTTTTTATGTAATATTATGTTAAAATTAATTATATTGTAGACCTCTCGCTGGCTTACTACACTTTTGGTTAAGGTAAATAAAATATGCACGAAAATTCTTTTGCAGCTCGAAGACCCCCGGCAACGGTTAGCAAGTCAAGCGAAGCTGTGACCAAAACGATCGATCCCAGATCGATGAGATGAGAAGCAGCCAACACTCTTGGTTACGATTTGGCCCTTGGGCTTGTTGGCCGAAAACGTGGAAATTTGCATAATCATCCCCAAAAAAGAGCGGACACTATTAGGCCAACATGCGAGCACTTCAGCATGGCCAGTTGACAACATTATTCCAGTATTATTCCAATGATCGTTAATTGTTCCCCAACGACAAAAGGCTGGGGTTAACGCTCAGGCAAGTGTTTGAATATCTGAAGAAAAGCTGGTCCAAAGAAGAACTGAATGCCAAATTAGAAAAGCCCGAAGAAAGAATCTGGAATTCTTATTCTTCGATTTAGGCGTGTGTGCGGATATATATGGCCATAAATTCCCCTCCAGGCAAAGGTCAGCACCTGCCGAATCGGATTTGGCCATATAATTAAAGAGCCGAGGTACGGCCAATGAACTTTCAACTTGGTCTGTTCGGCCCAGCCCATAAGTCGGACTTAAGACAATTTATTAGCCATTTGCCGAAGTTGGCCAAAAACTGGACAGCAGCTTTCTTTGTGCCGTTGCCTCGTTTGATTTTGAATTTTGTCTTGGCCTGACCCCGTTGAACTTCTCCCTTGGTACATTCTTATGGAAATTAAGTTGGCGTTCCTTTTTTGATTTTGATTTTTTTTTTTAGAAATTTTTCGCAGTTTCCGCGGGCTTGTTGCTATGCGGATTTCACTGCGACTTCTTAAATGTCTTCAATAAAATATGTTTGAATTTAAAATTGACCCAAGTGCGTGTGGATTTCTTTTTTATGGGTGGAAAAAAAGCATATTTAGCATATTTATGAAAACCATTTTACCGTTTACCGTGGGCAAAATTTCTCCAATCCATATATGGTAATATTTTTTTGCTGACCCAATTTTTTTTAACAGTTCATCATAGTTAAAAGTTTAACCTTCCAAAATTTTAATTTATGCGACCTGATAAATTATTCAATTTTTCCATTTTTTATCAATGGAAAAATATTTAGATCAATTAGGAAGAACAGTTATCCAAATCCTGTACTCCCCAATCATGGAGCATCAAAGTTCATTCTTTAATAACTTTGTCAAACCTTATAAAATTAGCTACCGTTCTAGAGGGTTTACTGCATTATGAATATTTATGATATTAGATAATATCGGAATATGTAATAAGCAAAACCCCAAAATTCTTGAAGTGAATAAACATTTTCGCTGACTAGAAATACTTGTGACATCTTTGATCATTCTGAATTAGCCGATGTATTTTGGCTAGAAGAAAATAAGCAGAAAGAATTCCACAAAGCGAGAATATATAATTTTTTTTTGATTCACACTCCACTTTTAATGAATTTCTAAGTTCTTAAGTTCTATACTTTACTACGTATTTATTAAATATGATTGCCTTACGAGTTTTTTTTTTCAAATAGAGTTATTTTGATATTAAATTAAATATTAAAGATTTTACCGTAGTTAAATATTTTATAATATTTATACAAATATGTAGTAGTCTACTTTAAATCCTTCTTAAATATCAAGACATCCAGATTTGAGTCAAAAAACTGATAACTGAAAACAACCTAATTTAAAAATGAGTGAAATACAGAACTCTACGACTGCTAAAACGGTGATCTACGAATTTGCCTGGCCTCTACTGGTGGCCGTTTTCGAAATTAACCTGTACAGAATAATTTTGGAGCTGGTGGCTCACATCCTGCTGATTGTGATAACCGTGGTGGTGGTCAAGAAGTGCTGGGGAATGGATGACTCTCGCAGTGGCCGGCACGCCCAGTACTCCGTCGTGGGACTATTTTTGTGCCTAGGTGAGACCCTGCTGGTCAGTCACTCCTGGTGGTTGGGTGACTCGATCACCCAGTATCTGCGGAATCTGCTACACATGCTCTTGGGAATGATTGGCCTTTGGTTAGGTGTGGTGGGGATCTTCTTAAAGAGCGTGGCCAAGACCGCGTCCCTTGAAGTACATTTTTGCTCCAAGCACGGACTTACTGGTTTAATAGGGCTCCTGCTTGTCGGTGGCTCACTGGTCACTGGACTAACAATGGTCTACTACAACCATATGGCTGTGCATCTCAGCCACCGACTTATGGGAATCTTTGGCTTTGTGTGCCTCTGCAGCAGCCAGTGGCTTGCCTTTAATTTAGGATTTGCCCGACGGGAATGGAAAAACCGCTCGATTAAGTGGCTCAAAATTGGCTCTCTGGGTGCCACCATTGCAGTAGTTGGCTACGAGTTCCTTTGCCTATCTAGGGACATTACCAATTTGATGCCCACAAATTGGTTCAAAGCCATCGGGCTAAAGTCTATGGAACTGAATAACCCAATTTTAGATTGATCGCATTAAGTCACAAATGTGGTATCTTGTAATTAATCAGTAATTTTTAGAATTTTAAAAAAATTTTAACTGATCTGTGTAAGATTTTAGTAGGGAACTAAGACGTATATGTATTTTGTTAAATATATTTGCTTCGATGTTATAAAATTTTTATTTAAATGGATAATTATTGGTAAGAAAAGCTTTTCTTTTTAATTCATTCGTGTTAAGGTATTTCATCTGAAGAATCTATCTACCTATGTAAACTATTATCAGAAGGCATAATTATAGAACAAGAATCTGTGAATTGACCTGACCTAAGATTGATTAACGGAAACCCTTTTTAACAATAATCTAAATAATTTTTCCTTAAGGCTGACCTATAAAGCACCTGAAGTCAAAAAAGAAGAAATAATTGAGACGTGAGATTCAATTCAAAAAATAATAATACCAGCAACACAAAACTAGACAAGAAAAATATATCGACAAGTCTGAGAAACTATGGAGAGTCTGTAAAATGAGTCGCATGTGAAATATTAGCCAACTTTCAGTCTTTCACCTGCAGAAATTGCCAATTTCCCCGCTAGAAGCCAATTCGCCAGTGGCCTATTAATCACAAGAACAAAGCCATAGTTCTGACTCAACGAGGGTCTATCAATCAGCGATGGTAAATGTATTATATCCCCTTAGATGATATTACCCCTCCCATCGGAATCTACATTGGAGATTTGGGTATATGACCTGTGGCCGGGTATGGGATGCTTGGCACTTCGCATGCGTCGCTGACTCTGAGAGCAGGTCCATCACGAGTTCGCATCGACGGCCCTTGACTTCTCGGGTTTCTCGATCTTCTCGGTCGTCTTTTGATATTCTAGAGTTCTAATGCTATCATGAACTTTTTCGAAGCCACAATCTTGGATTGTGCGTGTCTCTGATTGTTTTGTCATTAGCATGACCGCCGCGATTTTTTGGGCCTTTGGTGATCTTCGACTTTTTGATTCAGCGACTGTTGATTTATTCAGCGCTCTTTCTTTTGTCCGCCCGTTGGGTCACTGACTCTCGTACGTTTCTTCTTTCTTTATTATTTTTCAAATTTTTTTCTGCTTTTCTCCATAGCTCTGTTTTTTCTACCAAATTTCGCCACTTGAAATTATGCCGACATCGACCGCAATTATGCCCCAATGTTGTTCTGGCCTAAGTGGGCTCTCTCTTCTTTTGGCTTTTGTGGGTTCTAGATTCTGGATTCTGGATTTTGGCCAGAACTTTTTCGCATAAAAACCTTATGCCGACGCCGCAGATCGTACAGTTCTGTTTGGGCCTTGCTTACAATTAGGATCCGGTCGGCAGTAAATCTTTAATTTTTGCGCACTTTCTTGACTTGAAGAAATCTTCGAACAAGATGTCCAAGTTGGGAGCTATCTTGATGTTCAGTTTGTGCCTGTATGTGGCCACGGCTCTGGCCGAACCACGCCTGCAGCAGGTGCAGGTTCAGGGGCGGGGTCAGGTGCAGGGACAGAGGGTGCAACATCCCTACCTCTTCCTGACCATTCCCAAGGGCCGTGCCAATGCCGGTGCTGTTGTCAAGGGTTTTGAAATTGTCGAGGAGGAGGACGACCAAGACCAGGACGATCTTCAGGATGAGGAGCAGAATGACGACAACGACAACGATGAGGACGATGAACTGGAGCACCAGCTGGGTCTGAACTTTGCCCGCAGTGGCCTGGCCTACAGGAAAAACCAGGAGGACGACGAGCAGGATGATGATCAGGAACAGGTTCTGGATGCCCAGCTACCCAAAAAGCAGATGATGGTCCAACGGGATCAGGCTGGCGCCATTATGGTACCAGATGGCATCATCGAGATCGAGGGCCAGAGTGTTCTGGACGAGAAGACCGGCAAGGCTGCTCTCCTGGTGCCCCGTGCTGCCTTGGACGCCATTCCCGATGGCGCTGTAGTGGCCCTAATGGAACGATCAGCCTCCAACACCGCTGGCGATGAGGTCGAAGAAGAACGAGCCAATCGCGTGGTGGTGCGCAGACGCAAGAACAACGGACGCAGAAACATCCGCCGTCGTGGCATCAACAACAACAACCTACGACGCCGCCGTCGTCCTGCTCAGCGTCGTCGCCGCGGTGGAAACCGCAGGCGCAACGTTCGCGTCATCCGTCCCCAGGGCGGCAACCGGAGGCGTGGCAACCAGAGGCGTCGCGGTGGCCAGGTCGTCCTTCAGGGTTAAGACCTAAAATCTAGGTCATCCAGCCCCTTTCTATATAGTATTAAAGTTAAGATCAACTACCGATCAGGACACACGAATTTGAAAAAACTTGATAACGATGCGACAAATAAAATGTGATATGAAAATTAAATACTTTCTTCTTTCTTTTTTCTTTGGGAATTCGTAGAATATTCCATTTTTTTCCTAACTTTTTCATAGATTTTTTAATGTTATATGAGAAAAATCAAAAATAAAAGAAATAAAATATCAATCCAGGAGGCAATTAACATTTGCGCTAAGCTGACAGGCAAACACACCATCTGTACAGACTCCCTTTCCTCAGTTACCGCAATCCTAAACCACGACAACCATTCCCACTATCCAAACGTAGCACGAAATACGATCACTCAACACTTCCCAATAATCAAGCTTATTTGGATCCCCAGTCACTTGGGTATTCCAGGTAATAAAAAAGCCTGTCTGGTACCAAGAAATACTCAGGTTATCAACGATTACCCAGCCCCTCAAAAACTCTTCCCTAAACAAAAGATAACAAATCATTATCACCCGTCTCAGACTAGGACACTCATTCCTAACAAACTCCCACTACCTGGACAGAACAAGTAACAACTTGTGCCCATTATGCAACATCTGCCAGATTGATATCCATTACATTATTTGTTCTTGCCCCTCCCTTTTCAAGGAAAGATCTTTATTCCTCAATAGCCCGGATCCAATCACCGTCATAGCTAACCCCACAGATACAAACTCCCTAAACATCCTCAAGTTCCTGGACAATTCCCATATCACCTCACAAATTTAACTAATTCACATTTTTCTGTAAATAAAATGTAAATAGCAAACCATAGTAATATCTTGTATGTACTCTCAAGTTAATCTTGTACAAGCCATATTTTAATTTTAGTCGAGCTGAAGGCCTTAGCTGCTATTGCTCCTAGCCATTTGTTAGCTTTTAGTTTTAACTAATTGTTAGCCTTAGATAAATAAAATAAATAAAATAAATAAATAAATAAAAGAAATAAAAATTTGAAAACCTCAAATATGATACGATCCACTTTTATATTATAATAATATTAATTAATCCCCTAACTCTATAAGAGTTGAAAGCAAGACTTCATACTAATGAGATACTCAAATGAGTATATCCCTTTCTAGAATAATAATTATTAAGCTAAACTACCTGACTGATTTGATATAATCAGAAACTTGACAAGATCAACAGATTGTGATACCGTAATGATATATTATATATTTATATATAATATATTTATGGGTGATAAAAATAATATAGAGTAAGATATGATATAAACTAATAAACTTGTGTTTAGAATTGATATTGGGATATATAATATATATATTTAAACGAATAAACTTTTAATATTGATTGATAACAATAGAGATGTGTTCAAAAGTCATTCTATATGGTATTTCAATATGAAATTATATAATCTAGATTAACTTTTACGGAGTTTACTATAAGAAATTGTGTTTGTTAAGAATGACTTAAAACAGCTGCATATCGAAGAAGCAATCAACATTATTAGGCTGATTGATACAACATGATTAAATCCCGACATCTTCATATCTTACTTAATCACCTGAATAGTAATAACACAATTTCAATGTCAAATAAAATATGTTCACAAAAGTTATCTAAAAAGTTTTTATATTTTTAAGGTTTATATTAAAGCTATATAAATTTCGAAAAATTAAATTTTCAAATGTTTTCTCATTGATTTGTTTTCTTTTTTTGGTAGAACAATCTTAAGATCATAAAAACAAATACACATTTTCATTTGGTATTTCCCTTGTTGAGGGTAATTGCATTTCTTCACAAAAACATGAACTTGTACCTTTAGTTCATTACTTGACTTTATGTGAAGGAAATGCCGAGCCCAACTGAGCCGAAGAAAACCGAGAACTGACAGTCAAAAACTTCTGTTTGGGCCAAATTCTTAGGGTCAAACTCGTCGACTTGACGTCAATCAATCATCGCTTGCTCGCCAATGGATAGAAGAATATGTTTTTGGCGAAAGAGATGGGAAATTAGCATAAAATTCGTACGCCTCTGATCCGCGACCCGGTTCACTTTGACCCCGGGCGAACTTTGGCTAATAGAGCTGGCTAAGAAAAGTGGAAGCTAGCAGATGATGGGGTTGAGGGGCGGATGACAGCAATCGATCAGCTGGATGGAGTCTCAAGTGGGTATAAAATCCCGGGTCAGACCATCAGTTGTCAGTCAGTTGTGAGTACAAACTCAGAGACAACAAGTTAACTAAAAACCTTCGATCCAAAGTCAAGGAAACCATAATCCCGACAAGGAAAAGCCATCCGCAAAATGCATTGCCTACTTCAACTGAGTCTGGCTGTGGCCCTTTGCGCCCTTTTAGCCCCAACCACTACCTTGGGTAAGTTCTCTAATATCTTGTTGTAATATCCAGAAAGAAAGCCCTTCTAAAAGGTCAAACTACAGAAAAGCTTTTGAGTTCAATATCATCAAAGAACTCACTGATTTCTTCAGTAAAAATACAAATACACTTTGAAAAAGGCAAAAGTCATCAAAACATCCCTAAAATACCTTAGTATTATTGGCAACATGTTTTATAAAATGCGTAAAAACCGCAATATTAAAAATATTTTTTTATATTTTTATGATTTCTAGCCGAACGGCGCAATGTATTCCGCGTGGGTGGTCCTCGGTCCGCGGATGCTCCCATTGAAGCCCGCTTCACTTCGTCGATTGCCAACAAACTGACCTCGCTAAAGGGCAGCACTACGACGACCACGGTAGCACCCACAACGACCAGCCTCACCCCCACAACCTCCACCGATACAACCTCGCCCACATCACCCACCACCTCCACCGGAACCTCGACCAGCACATCCACCCCCACTTCCAGTTCCAGCACTGGTCGTGGTTTCGACCCTAGTCACGAGGATGCTGACGAGGACGATGAAGAAATGGCCAGGTCATTTGAGGAGGGGGACGATGATGATGCTGGCAGCTTGGAGGATGACGACGATAACGACGAGGAGGGTGAGGAGAACTACTATGTCGCTGCACCATCATCTGCCGGTGGTAGCAATTCGGTACAACAATCCTCCGAATCTGGTTCCCTTGTCCGACCCTCGGAACTCCAGTGGCGTCAATTCCAAACGGAGCAACGCAACCGCCGCCGGATCCAGCGCCTTCAGCGGGAGCATAACCAGCGAATCAGGGCACTCCTGCGCCGCCAGAGGGCCGCCGACAAGCGCAACCAGCAACGCTTGCGCCGCCAACGCCAGCAGAGCCGCCGACGCGTCTCGCAGCGCCAGCGCCGCAACCGCAACCGCTCTAAGGCCCAACGTCAGAGGCAGAGAAAGAACAACGTGAGCCGCCGCCGTCGTCAGCAGCAGCAGCGCCAGCGCAGACACCGCCAGCAGCAGCGTCGTCGCCTGATGCGCATCCTGCGCCGTCGTCGTCGCGGTGGACGTCGCGTCTAAGGAACTGATCCCGATCTGATGATCTCGATACAGACCTTTGAAAGATACCCAGTCGATCCGAGAACCCATGAAATAAACTGAACTTGTATGCAAAACAAAAACTTTTTTTTTTTTCATTATTATGTGCCATCATTTTGGGAAATGTAATTTTTTTAGAAGATTCATTTTGGAAGATACCAAGAGATACTTTTTAGGAGGAGATTTAAGAAAAAATACGGATTATTCTTCGCATCAGATGCGAAGAAATTGAGTGCAATAATGCATGCTTAAATTATTATTCTCAAAATAATGAGGATAATATTCGAAAATCTTTAAGTACTTGCAATTAAACATTTCGAGATGGATAAAAAAGAACCTTAGCAAATTCGAAACTTGAGAAGATATATCATTGAACCCTTAAATAAAGGGGCCCTTAAAATAAGGTAGGACAGATATCTATTGAAGATCATTAATCTGTAAATTTTTAAAAAGTCAGTTTCAAAGACATAGTTGAAAAGCACTAAACATTTTTATATTTCACTCTTTTTTAAAGATCACTCCCTTTATCTAAGAATTTAACTTTTTTTTAATATAAAAACTGAAAATCTAAATGTGAGATCTTTTAAATTTTCATAATGCTGGTAATTTCTTCCGTTAAAAACGTGCGAATTAAAAGTCTTTCTCTGAATTCAAATGTCTTTCTTCGCAGAATTCTTAGTGGGGGTCACTGCTATAGTGGTTCATTGACACCTCCACTTTCGCCCTTTGGTTGAAGAGTTTCGAACTAAGAATCTGAGATCAGAACTGAATATGAATATGTTAATGTCTCTGATTCGCGAGCTATATGCAAATGATGATTAGCGGCGATCGATCGGATGGCTGGGGTTACGGGTCAGATCGCGATTATTTATGGCATTATGCAAAGCGCTTACAACGCCAAAAAGCTGGCTTTTTCTTCGCCCTTTCTTCGTAGGCCTAAAAAACTAACTAACTAAATTCTCCATCTCCCTTGCTCTCCTGTTACATGTTTTTTTTTTTTTTTTTTGGTTTTCTGATTTCTGCTGTATGTTCCTCTCTTTTACAGGTCCATTTGTTGTAACCTCTTGATGGTTAGGGCCATGTAAGGGCCATGGTTACATATAAATAAGCCGGGCGTAGACCCAAGAAGTCAGTCACAGCAGCCCAGTCATCCAAGAGATACTAAGAGCCCAGACAAGCTAAAGAACAAACACCTCGAAATGCATCTGATGAAGGGTTTATTATTGGTTGTGTGCCTGGTGGCTTTTGCCAACGGTGGGTGAACATATAGGTTTCCTAGCCACAACTATAAGCTTTAATATCCATTTTGATTTTTACCCTTAGCCAAGCCTCAAAACTTCCAGGTCTTCGGACGCCAGCGTGATGAGCCCGCCGCCCAAGGACGCTTGAGCGCCACCCAACTGACCGACCTCTTGAACTCTTTGAAGGGCAGCAGCAGCAGCAGCACCACAGCAGCGCCAACCACCACCACCGTGCCCACAACCTCCACGGTGACTTCTTCACCCACTGGACCCACCACCTCAACCGGAACTTCGACCAGCACCACCACACCCACCAGCTCACCAACTAGCACCTCCACTGGCCGCCAATTGGAGCCCATCGATGAGCAGGAGGATGATGATGAAGAGGAACAGGTTAACCAGCACCATCGCTTCCAGCTGGAGGATGAGGACGACGAGGAGGAGCACCAACAGGTGGCCCGCTCCCAGGCCAACCGCCGCCGTCAGGTGAACGCCCGCCGCCAGCGCCAGCGACTGCAGCAGAAGTACCGTCGCCGCCAGCAGCAGCAGCGTCGTCGTCGCCAGCAGCAGCAGCAGAAGCGTCGCCAGCAGCAGAAGCGTCGTCAGCAGCAGCGCCGCCGCAAGCAGCAGAACCAGAAGCGCCGCCAGCGCCGCAACCGCCGCACCAACATGCGCCTGATCAGCCGCTTCCGTCAGAGCACCCCCAACCGCAACCGTGTCATCCGTATCTCCGCCTAAGGCGTGGAAATCTTTGGATACCGATCTACACTGACCACCAATAAATTGCAATGATATAATACATTTATGGCACTTATTAATTTGGGGTCACCACAAGTTACAGCATTTAACTAGTATTAGGATCATCATGGTATAGCCTATGCCCAAGACCAAATGTTGGGAAGTCATGATCAAGTTTTATCTCTTTAAGGTTATCTAAAGGAATACCTCAGTCTTAGTCACAGTTAGACATAGTCATACCATTCATTCGTATAAAAATAAAATTTATTCAAACAACGCAGCGAAAGTCGGAATAGGAGTCATTACCGCCGATCTCATTAGAGTATATAAAAAAAAAAATAGCTTCCTTTAGTAAAGCAGGGGAGTCCCTGGCAGGCCATTTAAAATAATCAAACATGAATTGCAATGCAATAAGAGTTTTTTAGGACTTTTAAATGGGAAATATTACAGGGTCTTCAGTAATTCCATAGTTACCGCATGCAACAATATCTTTTTATCAGACAACATATCAAATATTTATATTAGCTTGGTTGGGAAGTGTTAATGCATCCACCTTATAGTTCGGAAATTGCCCCAAGCGATTACCATCTGTTTTTGGCCATGCAAAATGTTTTCGATGGACACAAATTGAGTTTAAGGAAGGATTGTGAAAATCGAATCGCCGAGTTTTTTGCCAGTAGGGACAAGGACTTCTTTAGGAGAGGCATATACAAGTTACCATTATAATGGCAGAAAATCATCGAAGGCAACGGTACATATAGCACTTAAATCAGATGCTAACTATGTTAAAATCGTCGTCGAAAATTAATAAAGAAACCGATATGTCATTACAAAACAACCTAATTTATACAGGGGGAAATTTGCTACTCAGTATTATTAAATGGGACACGTTCTCTGATTTATTGAAAAACCAATAGTTCGAAGTAATTTAAAATAATTGGGAGGATCGATGAAAACATAAGCCCAAACTTAAAAAACTGAAATCTATCCCTTTTAATGGGGAAGCCTAACATAAGTGCATTATTTAACTATATAAGTTACAGAAACCTCTTCATTACTCATTATGTCCCATAGAAGCTTCCTATCAAAGCTTCTAACTCAAATACGTATAACTTCGTTTCAGATATGGTTTTCTAGGGAAGAAGTAGATAGTATTTATTTTCAATAAGCACAAACCATAAAGCCTAAGTGACTTCCATCCTTATACGATCTTTAGTTAGTCTACAAAATCAATAAGTGGAACTAGAAATTTACTTCATTGGACAAAACAAATGCATTCGATTTAAGAACCATTATTAGGTCTCATCATTTGTTAAAATTTGATAGAACCTGATGATAAACTACTAGAACTTCTAATACCAAAGAAGCTTTGTTGTCAACCAAAATTGTTACATTCTATTGATAACGCACCATAATATTTTCTATTTTGTTTGGAATCTGTGTTTATCAAACGCCATTCCAATTGATGAGAAATACTATACCGAACTTTAGCTAAAAAATGTCGCATGGGTCAAACTAGTTCAACGATCGCCGAGCGGTCATCTAAATTTATGCAAGAACTTAGGCGAATTTGCAAATTTGCGAAAAAAGAAATGATAATGAGAATTATGGTTGCCGATTTTGGGCTGGGTTGTTGTTGTTAGATCTGTAACTGGAGCGTTGGGTATATAACCCCGGTTGGCCGCTGGCAATATCACAGTCCACCAGCGACCTTTCCCCAGGCACAGTCCAGCCCATCCCAGTACAATTTCAAGGTTCTCGATCCTAGTGTACCCAAGGAAATATCCAGGAAAATACCCAATATGAAGTTCTTCTACGGAGCTCTGCTGGTGCTGGGCACAGCAATTATTGCCCAGGCGGCCGGTGAGTTTAGTTGTTTAATCAAAAAAAAAAAAAACAAAAAAAATCCTGCTCCTTGTCATTTACCTAATTAAACAAAAAAATATATATGCATTAAAATAATAGATTCTAAATAATAATCTTCGGTCTAATCAACAGTTGCCCGCTCCAACGATGAGACCGCCCAGGAGACTGCTCAGCAGAACAAGTACCGCCTGTTCAAACAGCCCGTACAGATCGAGGCACGCAACTTACAGCAGCTGTTGGCCCTGAAGCAGCCATCCTGCCCGCCTGCTGCGGACACCACCACCACCACCGTGCCCACAACCTCCACGGTGACTACTTCACCCACTGGACCCACCACCTCAACCGGAACTTCGACCAGCACCACCACACCCACCACATCGGGCTCTGCCACTGGAACTTCTACTAGTCGTTTCTTAAACCATAATAATTCGGAGGACAACGATGTTGATGACGAGGAGATCGAGGAGGAGAAATACCTAAAGGACGAGGAGCATGAGGACGATGTGGAGGATGATGACGAGGATGACGGCTTCCAGCTAGTGGCTCCCAAGGACTCATCTTCATCTACTTCACTTCGTCGTCGTGGTAGCTCCTCTTCCAGTTCAAGCAACAACAACAACCTGTCCAACAGCGAACTAATGCGCGAGATCGAGCTGCGTCGCCAGAAGGACCTCAACGATCAGCTGCGCAAACAGCTGGCCAATGCTCGTCGTCGCACCGTTCAGAGCCGCCGCCGTGCAAACAACAGTCGTCGCCGCAACCGCCGTCGCCAGCAACAGAAGCGCAAAAACCTGTCCCGCCGCAACCAGCAGAGGCGCCGTTCACAGAACCGTCGCCACCGCAACGCCCGTCGTCGCCAACGCCGCAACAACCGCCTCAGCCGTCTGCGTCAGCGTCGTCGTGCCAACCGCCGCCGCCGCAACTAAATGATCAGCGATCATCAATAACCTCTGACCTACGACATGTACGACAATCGGTTTCAATAAAGTGAATTTCTAAAAACAAAAACTCATGAATTATCACTCTCCTGGGGTTTACACAAAGCTATTATCCATCATATCAATTATATTAATCATATAAATCAGTTTACTCATATCCGATACATTCATCTATGATACTCCTTATATTAGTATGCATAGCAATCTTAATCGGGACAACGAATTTAATCATTATATTCGGTTTACTTATAACCCATATTCATATTGAGTAATCAGTACTCATAATATGCATTATATCCATTCAGAGTACTCATTATATCATATTCGTGTTAATGCGACCTAGTAAATTTATCAAACAAATCGAATCTACCAATGGAATCACATGGTTTATATCTATAATATCTTATAGATATCCTATTCGTCTGATTTTTCAAGAAACATACATCCATCAATAGTCAATCGGTCAATCACTTTACTACACTGCCACACACTAGGAAGATAGTTTCCCAAACCATGTATGCAATTATTTTTGCTGAAAACTCTAGTAAGAACTATCTAATCAAGACAAATCAAACGAATTTTGTAGTTCTCCAATAATTTGTAAAAGGACCTTGTAAATAAAAAAAAGGATATCTGTACTTGGAATATTCTTTGAATAATGATAATTCTGGAAATAAGTTAGCCAATGTTATGACGATTTACTTTTCAATTAATATAATGGTTTAATTTTTTTACCATTGAAATGTGTAAATAAAATAAAAAGATAAAGATTTGTAAAAAATATGAGAAAGATAAACAATTTTCACAATATACATGATCATTATCACTTACCTTGTCATATATTTTTTAACTTCTAATCTGGATTGACATATTATTTATCACTTATTTGACCTTTCACCTAAAAAATAATAATAAATAAGAGAATATTAAACATTATTTTATGGAAAATTGAAAGAAAATACCTTTAAACAAACATTAAAAAGATTGCAGCACATGCTGAGCCAGCTTTGATTATTTTATCCATATTTATTATCTAATTTCAGTTCACTTTTAATATTTCAGTCACCTAAAAAGAGAAGAGAACAAAATGAAACATAAAAAAATGTTTTTATTTTTCTACAAATTACACATATAAAAAATATTTAAAATATTTAAGCACATGTTGTGGCACATTTGTGGGACACATTCGCAGGCTGTGGGCCACCTTCAACCCGTTGGCATCAATTAGAAATTAATTTCAATAGATTTTCACTTTTTTTCAGCCCACTCCACTAGCGAAAGCCCAAGGCGTTGCAGAAATCAGAAAATCAGAAGACCAGAAGAGATCAGTACCCCATAGCTGAAAACCCAAAGGCGTTCCGCTTGGTCGAAAAACCCATAGGATGACCGGCAGAACCCACCGGTTGACGATGATGACGACGGAGAATATAGAGAGTATACAATATATAGCTGGCAGCGATTTGCCGATTTGAGCCACCACACACAGATCAATTGAATTTCAATTGTGTACATAGTTTTACCGTTTGGCACTTACGATCATTTGCATTCCACAGCGTTATTTGCGGGACTATAAAAGCCCTCGTCTTGGACCGATAAAGTATCAGAGCCTGATTGTCCAGCCATCGGCAAGCAACAGAAATCTAAACGATTTTGGTCCACCCGAAAAGTTCTCTCCTCACCTAGAGTAGTTTCCAGTAAAACCAAAATCGAAAAAAACCTAACAATTTAAAGATGAAGTTGTACGCCCCAGTGATCCTGTTGGCCTGCTGCCTTCTAGTTGCACAGGCGGCTCCCGAGAAGAAGATTGCCCAGAAGTCGCGTCAAGTGGAGCAGGATGCCAAGGTGGGAGTGGCCAGTGCGGCTGGTTCCACTGCAGGATCTGCCTCCAAGGATCCCTCCAGCGGTCGGTTATTCCTGAAGAAGTTCCTCACCTTCAAGAACCTATTCAGCAGCAACAACCAGCCGGTGATCCCGATCATTATTACCGGCGCTGGTACTGGAACGTCCACTGGCACATCTCCCACCTCACCCACGGTGACGGTAACCTCGACTGGCACTATTCCCTCGGCCACTGGCACAATCACCACCTCGCCCACGACTCCCTCATCGCCCACATCGACCTCGACTGGCCGTCAAACGATTGTCAAGGGTGCCCGTTATGGTAGCGACGATGAAGCTGAGGATCAGGAGCAGGAGAAGGACCAAGAGCAGGAGCAGGATCAAGAGCTGGCCCAAGGTCAAATGCCCGCTCAGGCCTATCCCGCTGAACTGATGGACGAACAGGCTCTGCAGGCCGCTTTAGCTGCTGGTGCCCAGGAATACGAAGTGGTGACCACCGGACACGAGGTTCAGGGCACCGGCGGTGCAACCGGAGAAGGTGGCAAGGCCACTCAGAGCAACAACCACATTAGCCTGAGACGCAAGGGTGCCCGTCGCGGCCAGGTGATCAGTGTTCGCATTCCTCCTAGGTACCGTCGCTACTTCAAGAACGGCCAGAAGGTGATGCTCAATACTGGCAGTCGTCCCGGCTCCAAGCGCCGTGTGGTACGCAAACGTGTGCCCGCCAAGAAGATCAACAAGAACAACCGAAGGCGTAATGGCAACAAGAAGAACCGTCGCAACCGCAATAAGAACCGTCGCAATCGCATTACCGCCGTCTAGAGATTCAGAATTTGAACACGAAACCGAAATCGGAATGGGAATCGGAATGAGGATCTCATTGATCCCCAAATCCCCGTCCTCCGGCAAGAGCATTTTTTTTTCTAATTTATTGTAGCCTAACTTGCAACTGCCACACTTCCTGTGACAGGATTTAACATAAATAAAGCCCTTTCAAAAGTACTCAACATGTTTATTTATCCTTTTTCAGAGGTGTTTAGAAGTTTGGAAAACGGTAACTATTCAACTATTTGGCCAAGACATATATAAGAGATTCGATAACTCATAAAAATAGAAAACCTTTTGAGGTAGTTTTAATTTTGAAAGACGAATTCAAAATTAATGGCAGTCCTTTGACTTTTTAGAGAAACTTCTTATAAAAAATAGTCATAAAACAAAAATATATTTAACTATATTTTTGTAACGGGTAGTAATAACAAGCCTTTTGGCTTTTTGATGAACAACACTTTTATAAAATATAATTTATGTTTGTAATTAAAAGGAATTTCATTTAAAGAATTCGATTAAGCCTCATAATTAAGAGAACCCAAATAGTTTATGTATATTTTTAACCCACATTTGAGAACAACACCCCCAAGATCTGGGCTTACACCGATCAAGTACCTAGGAAAAAGTTCAGCGATCATTGATCTCCAGAAGCCAAAAAATAGAAGGCCAAAAAACAATTGTTGCTTCTTGCCTGGAATCTCCTTTATGGGCATAGAACCAGTGAAAAGTACGCACTTGACCCAGATTTCTGTACCGAGATCAGATCGTGACGAATGATGGGGCACATTTTTGGGGTATTTAAGCGGCAGTTTAGCCCGAGGCTGAAGACAAACATGGCTGGACAGCGATCAATGATTGTACTGATCGTGGCTACGATCTTAGCCCTTTCGATACCGGGGATCTTTGGCAAAAGCTGTAGGTCGAGCCTCCAATTGCGAGCCCAAAACGATCCCATAGATCTCAGCCAACTGAGTGAAAAGCAGCTACAACAGCTAGTCCAGCAGCTTGCCAATTTGCAATCCGCGAAAGATGAAGCTGATGATGATCTGACGGAGGAGGATGAAGAGGACACTAAACCGAATCTGCAGGATCTACAGGATCCTGAGGACGATCATCGTGGTGGAAGTCGGCCATGGAACAGAGTGCAGCGCATTATCCGGCGACAGCTGGTGAAGATACCCAAAAAATACCTAAAGAAGCTACTCAGGCAATTTGGATTGGCCAGAAGTGCTGGATATAGTGGGCCGAGGAGAGGTGAGGTTATACCCCAATTGGAGGAGTACTACCTTATACCACTAGAGTGATATAAATGAGAGAAAATACACGTAACTTGACAAAAAATTAATACCTTGGCTCTGTTTTGGGAACTGCAAGATATTGAAAGAAAAAATTTATATTTTTTGAAAAAAGATTTTTAAATCATTAAAAAAAAATAATTTTCATAATGTTTCTTTCAATTTTTTCTCATTAAAAGTCTTAAGAAGTGAATTTTTTTGACAAGCCTAAAAATATGTTTTAAATTTAAATGTTGACAAACATTTATATTATCTTCGGACTTGTCAAAAGTTTTTTTCTGATAGATCTTGTTGTGGTATCAAGCAAAAAGCTTCGTTCACGATCGTGGGGTGAAGCTTTTCACCACTTTTGTTTAATTTTTGATTAGCTTAAAAATAGCTTTCGAACAGCTGTTGGCCAGCGATAACATTTTATGAGTATATAGTTGTCATACGACGTTCAAGGGAAAAAAGTGAAAACTGTGTTTTATTGAGCTATTTGTTGACCACAACTGCAGCCGGAATGTCAACAGGAGTACTGGCAGGAAAAGTGGCCCTGGTAACAGGTGGGTGTGGCACCATTTCCAAAGAAAACTTGGATGAACAGTGTTTATATTTACTTTAGGTGCCGGCTCGGGAATCGGACGTGCCACTTGCCGTCTTTTGGCCAGGGATGGTGCCAAAGTGATCGCTGCGGATCGTAATATTCAGGCTGCCCAGGAAACCGTTCAGGAATTAGGTCAGGATCGTTCGGCTGCTCTGGAGGTAGATGTGTCCTCCGCCCAAAGTGTCCAATCCTCGGTAGTTGAGGCTCTCAAGAAGTTCAAGCAAGCCCCCACTATTGTGGTGAATTCAGCAGGGATCACCCGAGATGGGTATCTGTTAAAGATGCCCGAAAAGGACTACGATGACGTGTATGGAGTGAATCTGAAGGGAACCTTCCTGGTGACGCAGGCCTTTGCCAAGGCCATGATTGAACAGAAACTGGAGAACGGGAGCATTGTGAACCTCTCGAGCATCGTGGCCAGAATGAATAATGTAGGTCAGGCCAACTATGCGGCCACCAAGGCCGGTGTCATTTCCTTCACCGAAGTTGCCTCCAAGGAGTTTGGAAAGTTTGGCATTCGAGTCAATTGCATCCTACCAGGCTACATAGACACGCCCATGGTGGCCGTAGTGCCAGATTCAGTGAAACAACAGGTGGTGCAGCGCTGTCCCCTAGGAAGAATGGGTCAGCCAGAGGAGATCGCTGAGGTTATCGCCTTTTTGGCCTCACCCCAGTCTTCCTATGTCAACGGAGCAGCTATCGAGGTTACCGGGGGTCTTAAATAATAAGGATAAATTAAATTTATCTTTATATATTGTCCAACTATACAGGTGTGGGCCAGAACATTGCATTTACTTGTGCAGCCAGAAATTTTTTTTTTTTTTTCCTAAATAAATTTAGACATATTTACAAGTAGTTTTACTGACAGCTGTGTTTGAACTGCGTTTACTTCTAAGTGTTTAAAATTTCATAATAATAATAACAAATTATTAATAAATAACGTAACGAACAATCTAAATTCTAATTCAATCTATAAACATTTTTTCCAATCAGAACTTTGACCTGTTGCTGTTCTCCCTCAGTTAAAACTACGCCATCTATATGTGATTTTTTAGGTGATTATAGGCATTTATCGATCCAGGCTAACGTTTCAGGTACTTGACACTCAAGTCAATAAAAATAATATATAAAAAATATATTATAAATAGCAGCTACTTGTCGTTCCAAGCTTAGGAAACTCTTCTGGTTACTTAAGCCAACGAGCAAGCTTAGCGTAGCTAACAAAGTGCTGCTGTATAAATCAATTGTGGTGCCCTCGATGATGTACTGCATCCAACTATGGGGGCTTGGCTTCGGACTCTAACGTCATGAAAGTACAAAGGGTTCAAAACCGGGCGTTGCGCTTGATTGCAAATGCGCCTTGGTACGTCAGAAACAAAGCTCTAGAAGATGACCTCTACATTCCCTCTATTAGGGAACAGATAAACAGGCACTCGAGTCGGTACAACGATCGTCTCACAGCTCACACCAACCACTTAGCTTCTTCGCTGGCTAACGCAACTATCAGAAGACGTCTAAAGCGAAGGCACCCAACCGATCTCTAGACAAGAGGACGCCAAATTTCTCGAGTTCTAAAGCAGTAATCTAGCATTAGTATTAATAGTATTTGTATTTAGCATTACTATTAACATTCCTGCTATGTATTTATGTTATTTGTTCATTATTGTTCTCAACGTATTATAGGCATTAAGTTGGCTGATTGACGTTTAATAAATGAATTGATTGTTATACCAAAAAAAAATGTTATTAAAAATAATATATTATCCTTGAAAGTAAATATAAAGAGTGACTGTTCCTCTTCTTTAGAAATATAGTACATTTCACCAACACGATATAATCTACATTCAGTGTCTTATGTTCGATCCACAAAAAATGCCTAAAAGTATGTCAACCAGAATTCCATAAAAGCACTTTAATGAAGTGTTCTCTTATATATACAATTTGTTTGATTGATTATATTCTTATCTGGCGTGTGTATACACTTTTGATCGGTAGTTCCAATCAGAAATCTATGCTCTACTTGGCGATACCACCGCGATAACCCCCAACCCATTTCGATTGACCACAAAAGGACCATCGAAGTGGGAAATGGAATGTGCGACACGGCTTGTTGTGGTTTATCGACGGAACCTTCTGGGTGGCTATTTGATATTTGGACCCACCGAAATGTACAATATTAATATATTTCACAATTCCCCAGCTGCTAATTAACTCAGTCGTTCACATACACACGCACATACAGTCGCACAGGGAGATATATGCATGTCAAGCGACATACACAAAGACACACACACATATGTTTGAGTGGTGCAGGGGGTGGTTTTGGGACAGGGTTTTCCGCCTCTGTGGTCGTGCGTGCAATTTAAATAATGAAGACATTTTATTAATTCAAGAAATTCAACTCACCCATACTGGCCACACACACACACACAGTGACACAAAAACACCCACACCGGCAGACACAGCATACACTCAACACATAGAGTAGCAATTACAGTGGCCACCCGACATTAAGCAACCTCCAACCACCGACACCACCGCACAAAGGCGCACACACACAAAACTTGCTAGCCATTTTGGGGTTAGGGTCGACGGGCGGAAAACACACCACACCGACTGAACCACCCAACCACCAGCTGCTAGCTGGTGCGTTTCCCATTTCCTTTGGTTTTAGTGCATAGTGAAAAACAAAACATTTGCTAATCATATGAAGCGGCCCTGAGCTGCCGCTCTTTTTATGCACTTCAAGAAAATCGTGATAATAATTTCTTAATATTTCATAATAAGCAACATTATAGAGAAAAAGGAGGAAGGAGGATAAAAGCTGTCTTATCAATAAATTCAATTATTTATTAAAAAATATAGCATAAGTTGGAAGCTACCAAACATTTTTTAATAAATAAATATAAACATTTAAATATAAAATTTAAATGAATATAGAAAAAAAAAATAAAGTTAAATAAAGTTTAGCACAAGAAAACCCATAAATTCTTCGAGTGCTTTCAACCACCTGTCCTTGTCGCTCCTTGAACCACTCTCCTTGTAGCAATTAACAACGCAGTGCGGCACAAACGGCGACGACAAGCCAACACTTGAGCCATAAAACAGCCCAACACGACCCCCGGAACGACCCCAAAAAAAAACCCGAGCCCCAAGTCCCGAATCTCCATAGCCCGTAACCCATAACCCACAACCCGCTCCATCCACACCCCCGAAAAAACCCCACGACTTCGGAGCGACCAGCGCTTTGGCACTTGCCATATCTCATGTTAATGAAATCGTAACTCTTCGGGCGCCTCGTGTCCGTTTTTTGTGCCTTCCCCTGTCCTGTCCCTCCTACTCCTTGGTTTTCCTTTGGACAAAAAACGGCATCCAAAAAGGAGCCGAGGGAACCGAAAACCCGAAAGGATGTTGGATCGCAGAATGATTAACGCGCCGGCAAAACTCCGCACGACTTCATGGACAATGGGAATTGGAGTTCTTTGAAGGAGGTGACACAGAACTTTGGCAATTGTCAACAATTTCGGATTAGACGATACCACTAATCAAGTAGAGTATGGTTTTAGACATACTCTAGTCTGAAATATATATTAATCATAATATTTATCATTTTAAGTTGCTTAATTTTTTACTTTCCTTACGTACTCACTTTATTTTGTTTCTAAAAACAGATATTTAAAGTGGCTATTGCACAGAAAGGGTGCACTAAAGAACTCTAGCTAATGTCACTTGGCCTGACTTTACTTTCGCCAGTCTCTTGACATTTGACGACTCACGTTAGTTTCAGTTTTCGAGAGTTTCCTCTTGGTTTTGTCAATGAAAAAAAAAAAAAAACCAAACGCTAATTAACACAGCCAACCGCAATTGCAACTTCCTTCTGGCTAAGTGCACGAATGTTCGAGCTGTACTGCCACCCACTCACTACCCACTGAACTACCCACAAGCCCACCAAAACCCACCGCCCCCAGCGAGCCACGTGTGACAGCGAGGGTCGTTCGGTGACAAAGGGCAACTAATTTAGTTTAATGGGCGTCGTGCGCGACTTTGTTGCCCACAGCCGCAGAATTTCTTGCGGCCAACACTTGCCTCACGGGGCAGCGAAAAAGGGTCCTGAAAATGGTGAAAGGCGGAGGTGGAGGAGATGGCAGGAAAGGGGTCAGAGGGGTCAGGGGTCAGAGGCCAGCGGGTGGATTGGTGGGCGCTTGAGCCACCCTTACGCACTCTCATTAAGCATTTTTAGTCAAGCTTAGCGAGCCGTTTGTTTGCACTGTCAACTTCACAACTCTGGTCAATTGCACTGAGCAAAAACAAAAGGACACAACGAGCCGACACGTAGTAGAAAAAATGATGCCGTACTTACTCAGGGTACTTTACCAAATAAAATTATCATTCCTGAAATCGAGAAATTTCAGGAATTATAAATCGAAATTACAAAAAATCAATATCAAAACTAATACATTTAAACGTATCGATATTATCGATAGCAATTTCTTAAAATTTCCCAACTTTTATTTTTGTTGGTGAATTTTTCACCAGCAGGTAATTCACCGAAATATACCAACCTCTTGCCAAAGTAACTCCCCCGCTGAAAGACTAAAACTAGCCCAAATCGCAGACGATTTCTTGCAGTGTAGCAACTCCGACAACTCCGAGGCGACTTGCCATAAATTAACACACATGACTGGCGGTGGCGGTGGTGGTGCAAGTGGTGGTGCCAGTGGTGGAACATTTTCATTTCACTTTTGTTTGTTTGATTTTTGGCTTTTTGCAGCTAGCTGACAGTTGGTCCTTCCGACCTGGGCAAATTAAAAATGTTTTTCACCCACACCCCTTGCAGCAGTGTATTTGTCTTTTGCCTTTTGATGTCCAACTCCCAATTCGCCATCCTCCACTCCGCTCCGCACCGCTTCTCATCTCTTCTTCTTCTTCTTCTTCTTCTTCTTGTTTCTCAATAAATTTTTATTCAGTTTTTTTTTTTTCGTGTTTAACTTTCTGTGTTGTGTGTGTGTGTGTGTTTTATGCTGCTTATTTGCTTTTATCATTTGCATTTTGTAAACAAAAAACATTTGTTCGTTCCGCGCTTAATTGGCGACACTAATAAAATACCCACAGCTAATAAGTATAGCAAAAAAAGAGAGAGTAATGTTTAGTTTTCTGGGATTCCTTAGATGAAATACGCTCGCTTATCAAAATATAATGCTTAGGGCTATGAAAAAAAATGCATGTATATATATATATATATATGTATGTATGTATATATGTCTAGGGCTAGGTCTAGATTTTAAATATGCATGTGTATCTTTAGTTAGGCTAGAACTAGGATAATTAGACCGTTATACACTTAGAAGTACACTTAGCACAATTGAACTGACGAATTGAAAACGTTTACGCGCTCTCCTTTATATTTTTTTTTTTTGTTTTTTGTTTTCTCTGCTTGTATGTATATACTTTTCTTTTCCATGGGCGTTTTGAGATGTATGGGCGTGTCATAAGTTAAGGCGACTGTCAAGATCTAGCTTCTATATTTATTTAACGCATCTAACGCACTATCGACATCTAAGTTATAGCTTAGCGTTGCGAAAAAATGCTACATAATTCAGAATTCAGATGAAGTTAATCGGGGATGGTAACGGTCGGATGTCCTTCCCTTCCATCCCACCAACTTAAATACTATCAGGTACTTTGGCATTTCGTTTGCTTACTCGCTATTCATTCAACTGAATGTCTTTATGCTTGTATATAGATTCTTTAACGTTTACCATATACTATATCTGTGTATACATAATTGAATTCTTTTGTTTTCATTTCTATATTTTTTTTTTGTGGGTTTTTCGGGGGCAGTCAGATGAAAGTTTTTTAACTAATAGATTGCAAGAACGGAAAAACTCGAAAGGTTTGAAGAAGCATTGAAGGCTTTATAGAAAGGCCAAGATAAATATAAAAAGGTAATATTTCCTAAAAAAAAAATGTCCTTAAAAGATTGAAAAGTGGAAAAATTAAATGATCCTTGAGAACATGTTCAACATTGTTCTCGTGTATTTGAAGTTTTCCACAAAAAGGCCCCCAGAAAACCCATTATTGTTAACTGGAGGTTAAATCCCCAATCAGTTAACCATTATATTAAGGCGTTTTTTCAACAAGCAGTAAAACTCTCTAATCTTCCTATTTTTTGTTGTTTTTTTTTTGTTCTGTAAATGCTTAACTCTCATTCTTTGAAGCTTAGTCTCTCTCTAGATCGAACTGGGGATTAGCCTACAATAAGACCTTAATCTAAGAACACAAATACATACAAAAAAAAAAAAAAAATAGAAATAACCTAGACCTAAGGGCTAAAGAAATGATGATGCTATAGCTCTGCTTACGATTACGCTTATATAATCAGATGTGTGTGAGCTAAGTGCCTAAACCTAAGCAATTCGAATTTTTGGTAGCTGAAAAAACACACCACCAACAATGATATTCCTCTAAAGCAATCGCCGGGGCCTCGGTTCCATTTGAGATCAGTCTTAGCGTGGCTCAGTGGGTCATCGTTAATGTTGGCGGTGGTTGATGGATTGTGGTGCTGCTGCTGCTGCTGCTGCTGCTGCTGATCCACCTTAGACGGCAGTGGGTGGAGGCAGCAGCGATGAGTTGGAGGACCTTAGATAGGGATTGCCATAGATGGCGCTATAGCGAGGATCCACACTCAGGGCCATCGAACTGGGCACCACCACATGAGTGGTGGTTGTGGTGGCCGCTGTAGTGCTCTGGTTGCTGCAGCTGCCATTTGGCGATGAGCTAACCACCGAGGCGGTGGTCGACTGGAGACTAGGCAGTCCATTGTCCTGGCGAATCTCACGTGATCCAATAATACTGCCAGTCAAGCTGCCGCCACTGCTGTTGGTCAGAAAGGTCATCGGCAGAGTTGTCGTTTGTGGATTGGAGCCTTGATGGTGGTGCTGGTGGTGGCTCTGATGACTCTGCTGCTGCTGCTGCAATTGCAATTGGTTTTGGTGGTTGTTCTGTAGTATGGTTGAACTGCCATTGGATTTCGTGGAACAGGTGGTCAGATATTGAGGGGGCGGACTATAGTGTGTACTATAATCGCCGTATGGTACATAGCCACCCGATATGTCCACCTTAAGATCGCTATAGTTCGAGGTCCGATCGCCGGGCTCCAGTTTGCAGCTAACTCCACCATTTTTCGTGATCTGATGCTCGCTAATCACATCCGCAGGCGGCAGCTTTGTACGCTTCTTGCACTTGATGTAGACCACTACAAGGATGGTCAGCACCAGCAGGAATGCAACCACCGAAATGCCACCCACAATTGTCATCAGCAATGAAACGCTCTCTGCGGAAAACACAAGAAAAAAGGCGAAAAATGTGGGTTAAATATTGAACAAGAAACAAAGATATCCAATAAAAAAAAAACAGTGTAAAAATTATTCTAAAAATCGTGAATAAAATTTATAGTCCCTGATAAATATAATGATGTAATAACTTATTTAATTTAGGAAGACTTACTTTTAGCTTGCAGCTGAATCTCGGCGACATCGTTGCCATAGTCATTGACCACCGTGCAGTTGTATTTGCCATAGTGATAGGCCTGGCTATCCCTGATGATCAGTGTACTTTTGACGCCACCGGGAACTGCATCAACCAGAATTGAATAGTCGTGTCCCGATTCCGAGCTAATCTCCTGACCATTAAAGGTCCACGAGACGTGACGAGCACGTGGAACACTGCTGGCAAAACACTCAATTCTGGCCGTATCGCCCACCAATCCGTATTGAGTCCTCTGGGAACTGATTGACGGTGAACCCTTTAGATAAACATATGCATCCGCTGATATCTCGGCATATCCGGGAACATTGGCCTTGCAGTAATACCTGCCAGCTGTCTCATTGCTCACACTAAATGTAAGATTTGTGCTGGTACCAACCACTCGATCGCTGGGATGTTGAATCCACACGATCTCTGGCTGGGGATTGCTGTCCACCTCGCAGGTCAGGGATACAACACTGCCTACATCCGCCTCCATTGATTGAGGACGCTGACGGAAACTGGGGGCATCTGTAATTAAAATCGGTCAAATAACAATAAATTATTAATAAATATTGAATAATAACAAAAGATAGTTTATAATTGATAATAGGATAGGAAAATAATATTTTGATTTTGCACAAAAATTGTATTTTATTTATCTAAAAAAAAAAAGGTATCCAAAAATGTTTATTAAATTACAGCTCGGCGGTGCTTTAATAAACATTAAAATGAAATGTGAACCTCGACATTATTTGTATAATTTGAGTAAAAAATTCTGTACAAAATGAATTCAGCCTGAGGAATATTGCGAAATATTTTAAATATTTGCCTCCTTTTCTATTTTACTTGAAATTTGTTGGCAATTTTAACCACCAAAAAAATATGACTTTAATTTGATTTTGGCAATAATTTGAATGCCCGAAGCTGTGTGTGTTGTTGACTTATGGAAATTCACAGATGTAGGTGTCAATAATTTACGTATGGTAGATAAATATTTATTTCTTTTGTTTTATATTTATTTCATATTAACGTAAAAACATTGATTTTTTTTTCTATGAAATGCCAGTTGCAGATATATTAGCAAACCCAATTTAATGAAATAATAAGAGTAAACGGTCAAGAAAATACGTTTAGAGTTTCAAGATTTTATGATATAATCTTAAATAAATAAAATCAATAAATTATCTAATACTTACAGCTTATATCAAGGGTTTCACTGTCCTCGCTCTTGCCGACTGAATTCTGCACCTCGCACTTGACAATCGCGTCGTGGAACTTGCGCGTCACATTGCGTATTACCTGAAAAACAAGAGGAGAGAGGGTCGATCCATGAGTTCCAGTTGCTATTAATTGTGGGAACGTTAGGCCTTTCCGGTGGCTATCTAACTGGTTCCAATAATTGCCAACATTATACAACAGCAAAGGCAGCATTTTAATCGCAATAGTTGCTCTAATTATGCGCCAGCCTGCCAAGTGGAATGCGAACCAGTTTTTATTCGAGTGAAAATCTCGGGGGAAAAACTTTAAGGAGTTGAAATAGCGGTGAAGGGGGAAACAGTAGGAGAAGGAGGAAAAGGAGGAGCGCCACTTACCATCTCTGTCTTCTGACCGCCAATGATCGGTTCGTCGTTGATGAACCAGCGGTACCGGACATCGCTGGGATTCGCATCTGCCCGGCACTCCAGTCGCACCTGCGAGTGCTCCACAATCCGGGAACCGGTGCCCAAATGAACAGCACCACCTCCGCCACCAACCAATCCACCATTTGCACCACCCGGCAGAGATCCTATCACATTCACCTTCACCTTGGGCGCATATTTCACCTGAAAAAGAGTAAAAATAATTTAAGATATTAAGAGATAAGATATCTTATTGGTTTTAAATCGCACAATTCCTATGCCCAGCTGAGCTACGAATTTACGTCCAAAGTTCTGGGTGACCAAAGAATGCCCATGCATTGGCCTTAAGTTGGCTCTCATTCAGCTCAATCAGCTGGGGAATCCCGGCACTCCTTGGCCCGACATCTTCGTCAGGGATTTGTCAACGCCATGGACATGTGCCATCACACACCCGCCACCCAACCCGAAAAACCAGGCCAATGACAAGTGGGCTGAGGTCAGGTCTTTGTTGGCGCCTCTTCACTTTCGCACCCCGGACAAAATGAGGGGTTCGAGGGAGGAGAAAGGAGGGCGCCTTTATATCCCGGCATGAATTAGCCCGTCAGTGTCGTCCATGTCCGGCACAAAAGCCCATTCAAAAAATACTATCCCCCCGGCTTGCAGCTGTCCTCGGGAAAGAAGGGAACTTCCGCAGTGCCGCCTAGCATCACGTAAAACTGATAGCAGGCTCTCTCACTCTTTTGCCCCGTTCATACTATAGATAAGGTAACGTCAGCCTGCGGCCGGACAATGCACTAGAAAAAAACCTTTGTCTAAATCGTATGTAGCCTGGATAAGATCTTGAAGAGCAAATTACCAGAAATTGTTAAACTTCTGACTTCCAACAAAAAAAAAAAGGAAAATTTCTAATTCTGATTTAATTCAACAAACTACACACTGAAATTTTCCCCAGTGTATTCATGCAAAACCTGCAATGACCTGTCAGCAGAATGACCATCGGGGGGTCAGCTGCTGACCAGGAGACTACTCACCTCAACACGTATTTTCGCCGTGCGATAGGTGCGGTCCGCTGTATTCTGCGCTTGGCAGCTGAAGTTCGTGTTATGGTGCTCCTTTTTCGGGGTTAGCCGCAGGACGGACTTGGCCGTAAAACGCCGCTGATCGGGCAGCGTTATCACCGTGTACTCAATGTTATCCGTTAGGACATTGCCCAGGCCATCAATCCAGGTAATCTGTGGAATTGGGATAAATGTTAAGTTAAAGTTTAGCATGGATTGTGATTCAAGACAAGATTGGACAGATTTTTGCAATGACTTTTGACGCCAACAAATATTAGACACACTTACCTCAGCAGCTGGCTTTCCACCAATCGAAACGCATTCGATCTCCACCTTGCGATCCTCGGTGGCATAGATAACGTCGCCTTGCGTGATCTTTGGCGCTTCGGGAGGCACAAGAACTGTTAGTCCGGCGAATGTAGACCTTATAGCCGGCTGGGCTTCCGGACCGGGACTAACTTGACACTGATACCGTGCATCATCGTCGAGCATCACTGGGTAAATGTCTAACGAGTAGTCACCCTCCTCATCACTGCCCACCATCGCATATCTTTCGAATCCACTCAGATCTCGGGATGTGCCAAGTCCGAAATCATCCTTGGTCCATTGAAGGGTTCCTTGTTTATTGATCACCCGACAGGGCAATGTGACTCTCGCCCCAACCACTGCTGTTTGATCTTGCGGTTCCATTGCGAAGCGCTGGTTCTGGTAGCTAGTGTAAGGCGACGTCCTGACCATTCCCACAACCATGGCCAGCAAGAGCAGCTGCATCATGTGCAACATGGTGCTGAAAGATATAAAAAGACATCAAAATTCAAATATGTATACATGTATTTTTCATTTCATCATAAACTGTGAATGCAGATTAGCGAGGAATTTAAAAAAAAACTTGAATTAAAACTTTCTATTTTCTTTTTTTTTCTTGTAGATTTAAATTACTCTCCACTACTCTACTACTTCCTACATCGCTTGATAATCCGAAACACCTCCGACGATATAAAGTCCTTCAATTAGCAGTGGTTTTGGGGTGCAACAAAGGCCAGGGGAAAACCGGATTGGATTTTTTGGGAGCCTTGAGCAGGCGCCAATATAATAATGGAGCCACCAAACAAAATTGTCTTTTCTTCTTGTTCACACATGTATCTAGTTGTTTATTTGCTGTGCTTTTTATGCGCTTTGTTTTGCTTTGTTGCGTTTTTTGGCTGGTTTTTTTTATTTTTTATCGCGTTTCGCGTTTTGTTGAACAAATTTTTCGGAGGGGCCACAATTGCCTCAGGGTCTTATTACTTATTATTGTTCGTTTATTGTTCGCTGTTGGCGCGCGTGTTTTTTTTTCTTCTTTTTTTTTTGTACGAGCTTTTGTTTTCTTCTACCAGTACATTTTTATTTTATTTTCATTCGCATTTTATTCGGTTTTATTCATGTTTTCCAAGTGCAGATAGCCGTACGTGAGCCCCGAAAACGAATTACATTCAAATTAGTCAAAGCAGTGGTTTTTGGGTGGTGCAGGGTAGCGCCGTCACAGAAAAAGGCTTAAGCCGCGAGGCAATACCACAGTTTACGATAAAGAGCGCCCATAAACGGGGCAAATGTGTAAAAATCTTGCGAAAATATTCTACAATGTGCCTGGGCAAATATGTAAAGCACATGTAATAAAAAAAACGAAAAACAAGTGAGCAGCATACTTTGCAAGGCAAGAATAAAAATGAAATAAAAATATGAAAAAAAATATATGAAAACAAGAGGAAACGCTGTAGTCGAGTGCATCGACTATAAGATACCCGTTACTGTTTTACACAATTTTAAAATATTCATTTTGGTAGTGGAAATTCACAAGGCGCCACCTAGAAAGCATGTTGAGTAACTGATAGTTCCTGAGATTTCAGCAATTTTAGTTTTTTTGCGATTTGTGGGCGTTAAAGTGGGCGTGGCAGTGGATGCTGTAATAAACTTGCGCTACGTACAGACCTCAAGAATCTTTATGGTTAATCACAACTTTGTATCTCTTATAGTTCCTGAGATCTCAGTGTTCATACGGACAGACGGACATGGCTCATTCGTCTTCGCTATTCATCCTGATCAAGAATATATATATCTTATAGGGTCGGAAACGCTTCCTTCTACCTGTTACATACTTTTCAACGAATCTAGTATATATATCTTTACAAGAGATGGGTTTTAATTGGATAAAAAAATATATTAGGTTGAAATAAACTACAAAATTCTTTAAAAACTCTTCCTATTGTCCATCTTTAGTTGCCAGTTTATTGGTTCTATACCCATTTACTGCCTTATTTTGTACGACTTATAGAAATCACTTGGCTAAATTCTTTCTGGTAACCACTTAATTCCAGCCACCAAGTTTCAATCCCCACTTTCAGCTCGAGTTGCGTTTGAGGAGATTTGCTTAATAAATTGAAGGTACAATATATGAAGCACAATCTCGACTCTTCTAAGTACTAAACTACATTACTCTCCCTTTCCATTTTTCCGCTTTGCCACCATCGCTTCCCAGCACTTTTCCACTTTTCCAGTTCGACGTACAGGTGCCGGCTGCCTAGGAATTTTCTCACGCATTTTTCCCCAGTTGTTGGGTAACAATTTTACTATTTCTGTATATTCTGTTTTGGAGTTTGAGGTTTCTTCTATTTTACTTTTTGGTTTTTCTTGGTTTTTTTTGGTTTGGTTTTGTGGTTTGCTTCCGTCTGTCTAATTTCGTTTTCTTGTAGTTCGTCGCTATTATTTGTTTTTATTGCACTTATACGGAAATTGGCGCCTCAAATTAAACGAAATTATAACAGAAAATGAAATAATAGAAGAGAAGAAATCCATAAAAAAAAATAACCCAAAAAAGATGCAAACGGAGGTAAAAGATTAGCGGGCTTCCGTTCAAAAAAAAAACCAAAAAAAAAAAACGAATTCAAAAAAAGAAAAGACAAAACGGAAGGCTTAGAAATCCGGGAGGCGGGGCTTGAAAATTACTCAAAATTAGAGTTGTATCCGAAAAGCAAAAACCCAAAAAAATCCGAAAATTCACTGGAGGCTGTGGGAGAAACTCCACATGATGGAAATCTCCAAATCATCAGCAAAGACTTCCAGCTGAAGATGATAATACGGCGTTTGCTGAGCTAATTAAACCCGATTTTAGACACGCTCACATGGAGTTTTTTTAGTATTTGAGGCTCTGCCTTTTATGGTCGATAAAGATTCGGTTTCATCTGTTTCATGATTTCGAAGTTTTTTTTGGAAGAAAAGTGTGTCTAAAGAGAGTGTTGATGGCCTGCGTATCGATGGAAGAAATCTAGTTTTTGGTTTTTAAATTACGTTCCTTATTTTCTATTTTAATTTATAGTTTTCCAGACCCTTAATGACTTCTCCAATAGCAATTTTGATCTTGTTTTTTTCCCTTTAAAATTCTTTCACTTTTTGGTTTTTTTAATTTGTTTTCTCCATTTCACTGTCACTGTCTTAATATCCAGGGCATGTCATACATGAAAACTGCTCCGAATCTGCACCCGGAAAACTGTGTGTGTGTGGGTGGGTGAATATGGTTGGTGCTGGAGAAGGAGGTGGAGTGGTTGGCCAACAATACACAATTCACTTCACTCATTGGCCAAGTCCGAGACTTAACAGTAGCAGCTGCCATCTGGTTGGAAAGTGCCTGGGCATCTCGTCTTTCTCCATGGGAAAACTAAAGCTCAAGTGGTGTGTCTCCCCTGGATTTTTAAGCCCCCCCTCTGCCAACTCCTCCACCACCCACCCACCTGCCGAAAAACTTTTGCCAGAGTAAGAAGCAAGGCGAGTGTTCAATATAAATTTTTCAAAGTTATTTGTACCAGGTGGGCCTTTCTTTATTGATTTATGAGAGCCACTTCGACGTGCTTAGAAGGAGCAGCAGCCGTACAAACTTCATGGGCGTCATTGAGGTGGGGAGGGGGTTTGAAAAATCAGACAAGGGGGTTTTCCAAAAGGGGAATAGATAAACCGTAAATGACAAAAGTCTCGAAGGAAGCCGCACATCCGCTGCAGCTTGCATCTAATAACCGAAGCGAACTGGCGATAATAATGCGATCGTGGAAACTGGTTTACGTTTTTATTTTTTTTACACTGGCCAACAGAGAAAGAAGACAAAACAATTAGCGCCGTCAGGAATGCTTAAGTGGTTTACAGAAATCATACAAAATATGATGACTTTCTCAATAAAAATTATGTAAAAATAAAGGATTTTAATGAAAATCTTAAACATGACATAATGAATTGATAATTTGTAAAAATTAGTAGGAAAATTTTAAAATTCTCTTTTAAATTAAAAATTATTAATTAATTAATCTATTAATTAAATTTAATGAAATTTTTCGTAATTTAATTACCAAGCTGTTTATATTCTTTGCCATATTTGTTTCCTTGCAGTTCTCTTTTTTTTATAGACTTTTATGGATACTTTTTTACAAATCAAGTTAACCCTTTTTTTCTTGCTCTGGGCTGACAACTTGATCTCGGGCGTCGTCTTAGCACCTGTTCCCCTGATTCCAGTTGCAACTTGCAACTATAAATATCACAACAGATGCTTGGGCTGTGGCATTAAAGGATGCTGTTCGTTGCTGGATAAGTGCAGCTGCATCTTGTGGTCAACGATGGCCAGGGGCGTCTGCAAAAGGGGCTTTTGTGGTCTCTGGACAGAAAAAAAAAAAAAAGGGGGGCCCGAAAGGCAGCTGCAGAAAGGAAGCCCGATGGTCGGGGAAGCTGCTGCCAACTGGCAAAACTGGCAACTTCCAACATCCAACATCCCAACTGCCGTTTGCCAACTGACTGACAAAACAGGCAACCATCTATACCCATATAGTCTGCATCCACATCCATAGTATCGATTGGATTGGTTTGGATTGGTCTGGCTTGGTTTTGGCTCAGATCGGAGGGCCGGGGAGTTGAGATTTATGTGTGATAAGCGTCGCCTGAAAATAATTACTGTATCTCTGTGTTGCCGGAGCTGCGAAAATTGAAAACTGGAGCGGAAAGCATTCGCAGCGGAAATGTTTTTCTTGCCATCGGAGTTTTCTGTTTGCCAGTGATTGGCAGCGTGGGGTTAAGAGCGAGGGAGACAGACGGGTCCCAGATTGTGGCATCGGCAACGCGGGGGGGTAACTATCTTCACCAATGACGTGCATCTACTGTCAGAATATTTCGACTGATCTCTTTGGATTGCAAGTAAATATGTGAATAAAATCAAAATGCAATGAGCTGCTGTTCCCATTACAGCTTAAAATAATTTACTAACAAAAGCTGATCATTACATTTCTCTATTAAAAGTTTAAATTTCTTTAGTTAAATACTTAATTACACTTAAAGAACAACAAATTCTATACATGTAACTCAGAAAGAAAGAGCTATATGCGCATCTAGTGCCGCATTAAGCAGCTTGAGCGGCAACTTTAGACGTTGTAAAGTAAGTGAATATGTGGCACACATCCTTTGGCTTTCTATTTGCCTGAGTAAGCTGTCCCAGCAGCCTCAAAGTTTCCCAAAAACAAACCGAAAACTCAACTTTAACTGTCAGTTAAAGTGTCGACTGTACTTGAGGATGCCTTCATCTGTCTCTGTCGCACCTATCCCTTTTTCTTTTTCCATCTTTTTCTTTCGCACACACATGCAAGTGCCCTTAGGGACCGGTTAACCCTTTACCAACGAAAAGAAACAGAAAAAAAAAAAAAAAAATAAGGGAACAGGAAGAAAAAAAGATTGTCCAAAAGGAAGGCTACTTAAAGGACTTTTGCTGACAAAATGGAAAAGGCAACAAGCGGAAGGGCAAAAGAGGAAGGAATCGGGGAATTGGGGATAACCGGAAAAGGCATAAAGGATATTGGTCGAGGTCCAGGGTTCAGCAAAGATTAGGACAATTAAAAAAGGGAATGCTTAACAATTAAAATCAATTTGTGCGTATATCTGTGCGGGACCCTCCTCTTCCCCCGCTTCTCTCCTTTCTTTTCTGGCCCTTTCTGTTGACAATTTGTTTGCTCGAACAAATCAACTAAAAGGCAACGGCTAAGTGGCAAAAGGAGAAAGCCAAGGGAAAGTCAAAGGATGATGATGACTGGCCGGGATTCAATTGACCCTCTCCTTCCTGCTGCCATCTCTGATTACGAGACAAATGTGTGTCCTGGGGCAAAATTGGGGCACCAGGATCTGGAATCTGGATCCCATACCCCTTGCCATTGTCAATAAAAAGGCAAACTGGCAAAAAATAAACTTAAATCGCCTATTAATGGGCCATACACCAGAAGTTTTTGGCCAAAGTCAGTCGAACTTAACGGGACAGTAAACGCAAGCTAAAAAGGTCGTCGTTCATCCTTCAAAGCAGGTTCATTCTGATAATTATCAACAGGGTCAGAGAACATGGGGAAACTTTTAGTTAGAAATTAAGTGATTTTTTACAATCAGTGTTGTTGACTCTGGTTGAAAGGTTCGCAGTGTTGACCAATGTAAGTACTGGCAATAATTGAGATCTTGTTATCAACTTGTGTTCCTTATAACGACCAGTGTTGCCTAGCAATAATTCATTTCGAAAACTTTGCCAGTCAGAACTTGTGTCAACAGCGTCTTGGGCAACAATCTCCCTTAGATCAATAAACCTGAAACGAAACTAGTGGCCAGCTCAGATTTCATAACACTAATCGAATCAAGCCGCGACTCCGAGTTGCCTTACTATAATAACAAACTGCAGCTTACCCAGAAGAACGGGTTAAGTTATTCATCAATTCTTCAAGCATCGCGGTTAGAAAAACCTGGCGAAGGGGGTGAAAACTTGTTAGCCGTGTATAATTAAAGCATCTTGGCTCGATCGGACTCTCATTAGCATAATTCTAACATAATTCCTGACATGGCCAGGCATAAAATTATGAATCGAACGGATAGCAGCCGAAACTCCAAATAAAATCATAAGATAGAGATATATACTATATATACGTATATATATATATGTATATAAATATGTATATATAAAGGAGATGGGCTTGGGGAATGGAGCAGATCGAATGAAAGTTGCTTGGCCACATCGAACCAGAATTTCAATCAGTAAATTGAACACCTGAACTTAACTGATTTCGTGGTTGTTGCTGCTGCTGTTGTTTTTTATGCTCTTTTGTGTGTGTGGTTATATTATTTCGATTTTTTTTCTTCTTTTTTTTTCGGCTGACTGGAAAGGGGAGAAGCTGCAAAGAAGCAAAACAAGTTGAAGTCGAGCAGCAGGAAATTAAGCCAGGCCAAGAAAAGACACTGCAACAATGACAAGCCGCCAGCCAGCTGGCTTCGATTTGGGTTTAGTCCGGGGTCTCGATTTTGGTTTGACTTTGGGATTCGAGTTTGGGTTGAGGCTATATGGTTTTCGCTTTTGGTTTTGGGTTCCCCAGCGGCCACTGGCAGCTTCTCCACTTTACGTTTAGCATTTTTTTCAAATTCATGTTTATGGTTTTGTATTACAAGCGATCGAGCCAAGCCGTCCAGCCGTCCAGCCAGTCAAGATTTGTATAACTTTAAGCCTTATTAACATATTTTATGCTCCATTCGAGTTCCATTCCAAGTCCAAGTTCGCCCACACACCGACATTTTTTCATTTCATTTCCAAGCATTTCGTTTTTATTTCTCCCCGTTTCTATTTTTTTTTTTTTCGTGTGGGCCGCCACTTTGACATAGATCGATCCAATCCGAACTCCCAAATAGAAAAATAAACGAAAACCCACCAGAAAAAAGGCCCATGAGATGCGATTGGCAAAGAGTGAAAAATGATTTCGAAAGCGGCACTTGACTAGACAGTATTTGAATAGACGTCAGATGGTAAACGTAGATATTTACTGGGCGACGTAGTTACTGGAGGTATTGGTTAGTTATTGGATTTAAAAAGACGTTGTTTTTTTTTATTGAGACACCATTGAGATATTTACAATACCTTGTTATGGACCAACCAACCCATATACCAAAAAAAAAAAAACACAGCATCTACTTGGGTTCCTTGAGGTTACTTTCTAACATCCAATGACAATTACAACTAGCGCGTTATGCACTTGTTAATATATTTTCCAACTTAACACCATAACACGTTTCATTCAACAAACTGCACAGCAAACCCAGTTCCCATAGGCAATGTTTTCATTTCAAATTATCATCGACAACGACAATTGCCTCCTGCTGACCAAGAAGAAAATCAAAAAAAAAAAAAAAAAAAAAGAAATACTCCGTACAACACTCACCTGACAGCTGTCACTGTTTTTGGGTACCTGTCCCCCTAAAACCCAAAATCCAAACCGAACCCAAAAAAAATAAACAATCTCCGCCTGGCTACCTCATCTCGGGCTTGATTCTTTTGTCCGGCCATCTGTATCCCTCATTTCCTTCTCCCCATGCAGCTAATTGAGTTATATCCCCACCACATGACACTGCAGCCGCGTTGCAGGCCCCGAAATATAAAATAAGAAGAATGAAAAAAAACCTATTTTAAATCGTCCGAAATAAGAAGAAAAAAAAAAGAAGACAGAGACTCCACACAAATACGAATCAATTCAATAAACAAGAGCGGGACCTTTCCCATACAGGTTTTATCCCCCTTCCCTTATTTCCTAAAAAAAACGCCACAAACGTGTTAGAAAAGAGCAGTAATAATGAACATGAAAGGTGCAGAGATACAGATATTTATATAGAGATACAGGTACGATCCACAGATATTGGGCCATTTGCAGATATATATATATACATATCGACGACCCACTGTCAGTTTTTCTTTCGCTGGCTTTTCTATTTGATTGCCTTGTGGTCGACCGTTACAAGAGTGGGTGTGTGGGCGGTATACCCAACTATCTATATAGAAAAACTAGATATATATATATATAGTCAAGCTTCAAGCTTCAAGCTTCGAAGCAAATATAGTAGTGGTAGTAGTGGTGGTGGTGCAACCACTATGAAAACAAAACATATAACGAGAACAACGACAACTTCAACTGGCGACACCTTCGGTCGCTTGTGTCTAACTAAATCCGATTATAACTAATTATTATGGACGCCGAACCCAAACTCAAACCCGAGCTAAAATAAAGGGGGTACATATGGTACATATATATATATATATATATATAGATGTATAGCAAGGAGGTTACGATGGGCCAGAGTTTCCACACTACTGTATTTGCGGGCTTGGCGTGGGCCATTCTTTTTGTATCTCAGTATCTCTGCTCATTGTATTTCGTGGCTTTATTTTATTATTTTCCACTTTTGAGGCTGCGACTTGAGTTGGGTTTTTGGTTATAGCCATTGTGTAATGTCAGTCATGTGTCCATATCAAAGTTGTTTAAACACGTGTAACGTGTATCAAATGCGTCTAAGGAAAGGGAATCTTTATATAGTTCGTAAAGAGGGAAGATTGATAAAAAGTTTCTGGCCTTTATAGATTATAGATAATCTTAATATAACTATGATAAATGCAGTTAATAACTTAATATTTTTACCTAAGTTGGATGTATGATAACTATAAAGTAAATGGTTATGTTATGTTATTGATTTTCATGACTTACCTTCAACTCCTTTACAATGGGAGAAGAACTCAAGTCTCGACTTTCACTTTCTCGCTTTTCTTGTCTTTTCTTTGGGCCTTGAGATCTGCAACACAAAAAAAAGAGAGAAGAAGGGTAAAAACATAAGTAAGATTATTAATTCAATTCTGTTTTTTTTTTCTTGTACTTGGTGCCGGTTCATTTGTTTGGCTCTGTACGTATTAATTGTTGTGGCTAATGGTCTTTTCTGTTGGCCCTAATGTTGTTCGTCTTCATCTTGGCTATAAACACGCACAGGCCGTGTTTGGCAGCGACGTTCTTCCGCATTCATTGCTCTTTTATAGGACACAAAATGTTTATTAGACATTATGTACCCGCAGTTCCCTTTACCATATAATCGTATATATATATACTTTCATTCTGGCCGAAAAACTTGCAGAGAATCACGCATATTTCGCATAAAAAGTCAACAATCGACATTTTTATGCAACGTTCTGTATATGTGTGTGTGTGTGTGTTTGCTCCTTTTCTTTGGCTCTTTGGGACGCCAGTTTTCCCTTATGAGCGAAACAGTCCTTTTCTGCTTAATTTTCTATTATGATCTTTGGTAATTGTTGCAATGAAAATTTATTGCCGGGAAATATTTACAGAGGGTTTGATAGCAGTAGCAATTTATTAATAAAAAGTTCTAGCCCTATTCTATCCTTTAAACAAGGTTAACCAATGCATAAATCTATCGTTTTATTTAATAATTTACTAAATTTATATTGTTTACGGTTCGTAACTAACTAGAGTGAGACCACATTAAATCAAGAATGTTATATTCCCAATATATTTTCGACTGGCATGCAAAGACTCCAAACAAATTGAAAAATTGATGCCTGCATTAGAGGCTATGCAGCTACTTGCAACCCTTTCCCACATACATGCCTTCCCTTACACAGTTCCTGTAAGTGTAACCACAGATAAGGGGGAATTCACATCCCCAAAAAATAACTCCCTTACCCCATCTATGTATATGCCCCCCAGCCCCCCCATCCATGACTCCTTTTTACCCCCTTTTTAGTTTGATAAAGCGACGGACATGATTCATGGAGGGTTCCGTTGGCTATGCTCTCGATTATATCCTTGCATGCCTAAGGTTTTCGGTTTGGCGAGAGGGTGAGGGGGCTTACCCCCTTTTTTCATGGGCGGAGGTACACAAACACAGACAGAACATGCAATACAATACAAATAAATACACAAAAAAATGAAAAAGTACAAAACGTGTGTGGCACGAAAGCCGAATCAGGCGATTGTCTCTGAGTTGTTTTTTTTATATTTTTCTGTTTTTTTTTATATTTTTTTCCCCCGGCAAGGGGGAGGAAGAGGGCTGTGTTCTGGCTTTGAACGCACTTCAGGGCTCCGGGACATTCAGACAGGACAGCTGGAACGGAGCTGAATGTGGCAACAAGCGTTAAGTGGTTGCCTGTTTGTCGCTTGTGTACTTGGAAATGCTTAACAAATTCAGCAGCGTGGATAAAAAAAAAAAAAATGAAAATAAACAGGGGGAATATCGAGAAATCCAGCTGTGGGGGGTATTATGGGGGCGGAGGCGAATAATAAAAAAAAAAGCAAACACCAAATAAAAAAAAAACACCCCGTCAGCTGTTTCTCCATAGACCAAAGTCAGCTGCTAATCCGCGGCGGGAGTGTCCTATGACTATGATGACTCACAGTTTGATGGGGTGACTGCGATTCCTTAATTTTGGTGGTTGTCCACCAAAAAAAAAAAAAAAAAAACACCCAAAAATAAAATCGAAACTTAAAGTAGAACAACCGAGGGGGTGGTTACATAATGACTCATAGTCCCAAAACAAATGAATTATTTATTAGAAGACATGCTAGAGTATCCTTTTTTTCTCCCTTCTTACAAAGCTTCTAATTTATGTGTTAGTGGTGAAAGTTTAGAGAAAAGTAAAGTCTGGGAGACTTTTGGTTATTTTTATATCTTCCTAATGTATTTTAGAAACTATTAAATTAACATTTTAGTTTATGAACTATTTCCTATTTCTCCGTGTGCATTATTAAAAGTTTTTCCAAATTCTTTCCCCTTCCCTGGAGAAACTTTTCCGTCTTTCCCCCTTTGCATTAAATAGTTAATTTCAACCACTTTCTGCTCGCCGCCGCCCATTTTAATTGTAATTCGAAGAGACTTGACTAAGAGGAGGAATATTCCCTGTGACTAGATGATTTTCCCAAGATCTCGACAAAAGTCCGCTCCCATTTCTTGACCATCATCCTGCTATCATCGCCCTGGCATTTTCATCTCGTAGACCACAAGTATTTCCATACATGCTAGTTGGCCCTAGGAGAAGCAGTAGAAGTAGAAGTAGAACCCCAACCTTTAGAGTCTTGTCCAAAGTTTTTGGGCTTATCTAAATGCCATTTTATTCCAGGCTGCTTTCTTGGCTTGTTCTTGTTTATCTTGCAGATACATCTGCGAATCTGCAAGGATGGGAACATTCTGCGGTCAGAAGTTGTCAGTTGATAAAAATGCCCGAGCAGAGAGTCAACGATAGCCCGAAATCCACTTTGGGTAAATGTAAATATTAAATTTGCGCATAAAAATAATACGGCAAGAAAGGAGATAGAGATAGAGATAGAGATAGAGATTGCTAAACCAATCCAAGCCAAGCTCTGGCAAACTAAAGTGAATTCACAAAGGAAAAAGGAGAACCATAAAAAGCTGACTGCGGCAGGACTATGAAGTGCCAGTGGAGGCTAAGGTCCTGGTCTCGAATTCTCAATTGACGCGCCACGTCCTCGAAGGCAAAAAAAAAAGATACATATATCCAGATACAGATACGGATTGAAAGAGGGGCAAGGGCAAAGGCAAAGGCAAACGCAAAGGAATGGGGTAAAGGAATGAGAATGAGAATGGGAAGAGAGCCGTCGAGGACGACTCCATAATAATTTTATGCGCTTCCAAAAAACTTCCGTTCAGTCATTGCGTTGTGTTTCCGCCCAAAAGTCGGAGACGAAGACATCGCACATGGTTACTTCTCCTCCATTTGAGATGGCAGCGTGAGTTGTGGGACATAAATCTAAATAATAGTCTGGCAAAATATTATAGACCCTTAAAAATTATATGCCAATCTAAGATTAATCTTATTTCAATTCAAAAAATGTTCATAATGTAATCTAACCTTATCTAATTCTAATTCTTCTCAAAAATATTCGCTATAAAGAAAATGAGTGATTTTAAATTATAGTTAATCAATTTTGTAGATATAGATTCAACACGCTTACATCTCTAGATATTTTTGACGTTGTCGACCAAATTGCCATAGAAATTTCGTAAGTTCTTGTACGCTTTTTTTTATATATTTCTTTTTTTTTTTTTTTTTTCTACTGCTTTGCTTTTTCTTTATGGTTCCCGTTAGCCGGCTGCCTGGCTTGATTTTTCCCCTTCCTCGGTTCGGGTTTTGGGTGGGTTTCTTAGGTGGTTCTCTGAGTGCTGGCTGAATGAATGAGCCGGCGAGCGAGCGAGCGAATGAATGAATGAATGAATGAATGAATGTTCAACTGTCACTTCCGTCAGACGGGCCAAGCGGAGTCAGGCCAAGAAAAGAAGGAAACCAGCACCACCCCCCTACACGTCGACAGGGTGCTGCTGTGGATGGGTAAATGGGGGCGACATCGCGTCAACATTGTTGGGGGAAAAATGCGGGGGCCAAACGAGTAATGACATATTCAAACGCAGCGCGAACTTGACGACGCCCCAAAGGAGTGAAGATGTTCTACACCAAGAAGACGCTTAGTGCGGAAAAATCTGAGGGAAAACTGAAGAAGAAATGTGCACAAGAAGCGTTGCCAGACATTCTGACAAAGCTGGCGACAAGGACGTACACTTGTAATAACACGAAAAGGATATTGTAAAACATTTTCATAAGTTCTCTTATTTTCTGAGCGCGTTTTTCTTCCAGCTCGCGTCGCGTTCAATTGCTGATGTAAATGCGCCCATAGAGTAGGGAGAAAATATGGGGGTTGTTTTTTTTTTTTTTGGCAAGGACTCAAAGAAAGTACTCTCTCGATTAACTTAATTAGTGCGGCAGATCATAACCAATATGGAAACTAATCCAAATTGGCAAAGATTTTTTGTGGTAAAAATTTAATATAATTTTGAACGTACAACTTTTCAAATTCTTATTTAAGTTTACAGTTTGAACATTTTCCCTTTCAGTTTGTCCTTATTATTATTTAATTTATTCGTATATATTAAGCAAATTCAGCTTGCCTTGACTAGATTTCACCCCAAATGCAATTTAATTAGGCCTGAAATAAAATTGAACTTCCCATTTAAGACACTTTTATTCATCTAAACTCGCCCAGCTTCCGATTTACCTACTCCACCCTCTGAAAACTCCCCCTTTTACTTCTATTTCTTACATTTTTGGGCCATATGGCCATCGACTTCGTCTACTTATTCCAACTATTGTCCGACAATAAGGAAATTTTATGCACATTTGAGTTCGGTCTTTGGCTGTTTTTCCGTTTCTCCGTTATCCCCTCGCTCCCTTTGGAAATCACCCCCTTTCATTTTTAGACTAATTTGATGTTTGTCCCCATTCGAGATACGAATTTCTTGGGTTTTTCTTTTGCCTTTTGGGCTGCTGCCAGCCAACCACCGAAAAGTCAAGGGAATGGAATCACACACATGGCCGCCCGTTTTCCATTTGCACCCCCCACACCAAGGGGGGGGCGATATTTCCCAAATCTCCTGCAATTTTTCCACAAACTTCCCCCCCGCCCATACCTTTTGCTGACTCTTCAAGGCGATGGCACACTTCAGTTTCCCTGCTGCCTTTCCACTTTGGATCCAACTTTTCCCATCAATGACTATTAATTGGCGTTCTCGATGGATGGTGGGTGGTATCAAAGGGGGGAGGGTAACCATGGGCCAACCCCCAAGCCACCCCTCCTGCATGCTTCACTTGCATTAAGGCGGCGCCATTAAAGCTCATCAAAAATGCAGGCCAAAGTGGCGCACTTTAAAAATGCCGCCTCTCATAGATTTTCATTTTCCATTTCCATTTTGCCCCCATCCTCTCCAACCCCCCCTCTCCACCTCTTGACGGAAAGTAGAGTGCTATGTTTTTGGGGTCAGAAAGAGACCCCCCCCACCACCACCACCCTTTCCTAATGATGATGGCTTGACAAATATTTATTGCTTAAGCATTTGAGTGCAAATATTTTAATTAGTCTGGCGACAAGACAACAGATCTGAAGATGGAAATATATAGATGGAAATGGAGCTGGGGATTCGGAATACTGGATTCTGAGTTCTGGATTCTGGTTTCTGGATATACTGGGCACCATTTCTCAACGCTGATGAGGCTTAATGAACTGCAAAGCGGCTCTCAATTGTCTTCAATTAACCAAATTAACCAAGGGATAAATTGTTTGCCTTTCAATGCCCTCGACTGTTTTTCTTCTTTTTCTCTATTTAACGAGGATGGGAAATTAGCAGATCGCAGGCAATAAATATTTCCTTATTTCAAACCAAAAAAAAAAAACAAATAAGATAATTACCTGGAAATCTCCATTAAAGGACATATACATTCTTTAACCCACTGAGAGCCAGAGGGGGGGAAACAGGGGAACGGGGAAAAAAAATGAGTGAAGCAGTCAAATCAGTGAAAACGATATGGAGAAACTGTCAAAAAGCCTGACAGCTTCGCTCTCAAGGTGAGCGCCATAGACGGGACAGCTGGCGGGTTAAAGGGGGTGCCGAACATAATTTGTGGCATGCAAAGAACTAACAAAGCGACAGGCAGGCGTTGGGAAAAAAAAAGTATTCGTATATATATACAAAATCGCAGGGCGAAATTGAAAAGGAAAAATAAGTTTCGACATGCTGACGAGGACGCGTCAAAACGATCCAACAAATGCGGCCAATCGATAATAAAGCAACAAGAAATGCAACAAAAAACAGCATATATATACGGGCCACAACAACAACAACAACAACTTGCGACATGAGCATGTTGCACTTCCTGCCACGCCTACCCACCACCTCCCTGAACACCCCTTTTCACCATCCTTATTTTCCTCCTGTCGATTGTTTCAGACGTTTTTAGCAATTTGCAATGCCAGCAAATTGGGCCAAATTATAAAATCCAAAAACTACACTACATACACTCTCAAAAACTCGAAACGAAAAATATGTATCTGTTTTTAAAATAAAATATTAATGTAATAATCATTGTTGCCAGACACATGTTAAGATCTTTAGATATTACTTATTAATCTTTTAAGATTGACCTAAGTACATTTTAAAATTAATTTAAGTTTAATGTCTTTTTTATAATGGATGGAAAGAAGGTTACAAAAATTGCTTAATTCATATATTTTTCTCTGCGTGTATGGGACATATATCGAACAAGAGGAAACAGCAGCATAAGTAAAAGGTTAGCTTGGCAAAGAAGAAGAAGATTGAAACTTTGCTTGCTTTTTTAATGACAAGGGACAGGTGCGTGAGTCTAAATATACATATATACTTTTCTCTTTGTAGTTGTAGTATATATGTATGTTTATATAAATTTGGATGTGTGCTTTTCAATGTATTGGCAGAAGCTTCTTCTGGGCCTCCAGCTTCTTCAACTCGCATCTGTGTCTTTAACACCGAAGCTGCCAGCTACATTTTCTCGATTCACAGCTGAAGGCAACGGATTTTCGGTTACACAAAGGAAAAATATATATTGAAAATAAAATAAATATAAGTGAATAAATTTATAATAATAATAAAAATGGCTCAATCAATGATTTTATATTTTGTAACTAGAAAAATAGATTTAGTGTCAAGGTTGTAGGTTTTCTATTGTATTTCTCTTTCTTAAAATGTTAATTAAAAAGAATTAAAATGAAACATAAAGTAAAGTAATTTAATTATACAGTTCAAAGATCACATAACCATATGCGAATTTTAAAAAAGAAAAGATAAACTAATTTTTGGATTTCATTTGATATAAAAACTTAAGATTGAATTTTTAAAATCATTGAAATTTATTTTATCATATTTTTTCTTTTCAAAATAAAAACGTTTATAGATCAACAAAATAATTTACAAAATTTAATTTTTGAAGTGCAGGAAAAGATGTTTTTCTTTGAGCATATTTTATCCGCTTTTATTATGTATTTATTTTATTTTTCTTGTAATTTTCAACTCAAATGCTTAGGAATGCTAATCGTTGTCTTGTATGTTACTTTTTGTGATTTCAACTTTTCTATTTGAAATCCGTATCATAAATCATAAATCATGCAAAAGCATGGAAAGAAAAGATCGAATCAGTTAAACAGATCACTTTTTTCTTAAAAAAAAAAGATGCTCTGGAGTGGAATGGTCAGGAGAAGAAGTTAATTAGGTGTCCAAGGTTTGGAGATGATGTATTTTTGTAGAGGGAAAAGTAAAGATCCCATCGGTTAGGTTTTTTACAGTGCTAAAATTATGAAATTTTCAAAAAGCTCAGTAATACACTTTCATTAGCATTTATATTTTCTAATTAAAAATCAATAAACTATACAAGTTTATTATCGTGTACGTTTAATTATTATTTAATTCTTACAGAAATTTATTCCTAACAGGCCAATAATATTATTGGAAATAACTTTTTTACATTAATTGTATAAAAATTAAAATTAGTATAATGAACATAACTTGCAGATCCATAATGGTTTCCTATTCATCAAAGTTTATTTCTGTACAGTAAAAAAACTTGTAATACATATTTTCTAAAGAGAAGTTATTAACTCCTTTGATATATTTTTTGCTACTCTTTTTCCAGACATTTTCTTTCATCAGATCTTTACTTTTTGCCTCGATTTCAACATGGAAAATACATATTTTCCTTGAACAAAAAACACACGAAGACCAACAACACGCTTGTAATCAAAATGCCAAAGTGGCCGAAAGCAACTTTTGTAAGGCCAAAACGGGGCGGGGATTTGGCGGACTGTATTTTATAAACAAAATCAAACCCGAAAAGGTCACAATGAGGGAGCAGCAGCAGTTGCAGTTGTTAGCACTCGAAAAAAAGTGAACCAAAACGAATGCGATTTTTTTTGATTTCTAATATTTTTCTTGAATATTTTTTACTCACACTTTATTTATATATTTTTAACTCGGTCTCCTTAGTCCTATAAATTGTATTTATGTTTTCGAAATATGATTCTCAACAATCTCACAGTCACTAATCCATAATCGTTGTGTGACAATTTGCAGCTTGTTTGGTTTTGTGTGGGCTTTTGTTTTTTATTATTATTTATTAATGTGAACCCTTGGTTTAATCCATTTTTAGCACTCACTTTATCCACTGGTAATCCACACCAAAATTTATTTATTTTTGGCTTGCGATGCACCAAAAAAAAAAAGTAAACTGTATTTGCATTTAATTCGGTTTTGTTTATATTTTTTTTTTGTGTGAGAGTTTTCTGCGATTATACAAATGTTCGTCTTTGGAGTTTGAAAAAGTATCTGAGAGATACCAAGTATCGAAAGTACGGAGTTTTCGCCGCTGCGAAGCGAACGGTACAAGCGAACGGAACGAAGTGCGAGCTCGATCCACAAATCGGACTTCCTTGGCCACGCCGGCTGCCTTCGAACATAACAAAGCGACGCAACATGTTGCACGTGTGTTGCCAGACCTCTTTTGGGAGGTTAACAGCAAGCAACAGGGTTAACAGAGCAGTTCGATGTTGCATGGGGTTTGGATTCATTTAATTTTAAATCATTTTTTCATTTAATACATTATTACTATTGGAAAATTTCTATAAAATCTGTTAAATATAAAAAAAAAGTCTCAAAAACATTTCAACATTATTTTTAAACAAATTTACAACATTTTCTAAATCAAAATTTTGGCTATATTACGATAAAACATTAAACTAATTTGAATATGTTTTTCTTTTTCATTTTCTTATATTTTTAATATAAAGAAATATTTTCATATCATTTATAAATGAAAATAAATTTTAAGGATTTAAAAATTAAATTTTTAATCTAATCTTCTGTGCCTTTGATACCTAAATTTTTTTTCTGTGCTTACAATTTTGGAAACAAGCCCAAGACCCAAGTTCCTCTTTTTCTTCTGACCATCTGCCTATCTTGGCCTCAGCTTAATTGTCCCCTGATTTGCTGTTAGCAGCGCCACCTTCCGCCGAAAGTGTGGACCACCAACTGTTGCCGGAGAAGATAAAAAAAAAAAGAAAGAAACGAGGAAAGATTAAGTAAAATATAAAAGCCTTTAAGAGCTGCAGATTGAGATAAAGTAGGAGAATTGGCCGTCAAGAGGTCAATGCTGTCCAAATGGCAGCTGTTCTCCATCTCTCCTCTTTCTTCGCACCCACAATTCTTCTTGTTTTTTGGTAGAAATCTGCAGTTTGGTTTGTGGAATGCCAAAAGGGCTGCGAAAAGCAACATATGGTGGACTTTAGCCTTTTGGAGAGCAATTTGTAGAAGACTTTAAGGCTTTGATTTGACAAAACGAAGGGAGTCCTATGGGAACCACATTGAACGAAATTTTTTAAATATATTTAGAAGGAAGTACTTTTTTTTTAATAGCTTAGAATAATTCATATTTTCATTTTAAATTCTAAACCTAAACATAGTTGAAATTCTAACGCTGTGGGAGCCATTGATTTGGTGCGACTTGTTAATCAATTGACGGCATGATGCGTTGATTCTGAGATTCTCTATAATTGAATCGATACACAGAATAGTCGAATGATCCATAGGATACAAAGATACTAAGATACTGAGAATGCTGAAGATACCAGCGATGAAGACGATATGTTGGATGGGAAGATTTCGGCACTGGAAACATGCGAAGACCAAAATAAACAAGTTTCTTTTTCGAAGGGGATGGGAGGAGAAAATTTATGGCACGATTGCTGCGAACGCAATTTAAACTACGCGTGTGAGGGAGGCACCGCTGCTGGAAAATCGGAAAATTCAAAGGGGGGGCGAGGTATGAGGAGATGAGGCCGTGATGAAGTGTCGGCGGTTCTCTTCCAATTTTCCACTCTCTCTCTCTCTCTGTCTGTCTTCACGCCTCTTTTTCAGCGTTTTTCTTACTTTTTCCAAGGGGAGATTTTTCCAAGCACCGCTGATTTTCTTCGGTTCCCCAAGTAATTGTCGTGTAATTTATGGCCACCGTATGGGAATATCAATGCATCGCGCTCTAAATTTACACAAAAACGACAGATAAAGCAAGAATGTGGGATAGTTAGGATATTTCCAACTCTACTTGACTTCTATATAGGCATTGGGCCATAGGATGAAAACTGTTTATAAACACCCTAGCTAAAAATAACAAAAAGGCTTTTCCGATAAGGAAAAATCATAGTGAAATACTATAAATTCTATCTACCAGATAACATTTTTGTAGATTTAAACTCTAAATTACTAATTCAAATCGTAAATTTTCATGTTACAAATTTCGTTCTTAAATATTTCAGATATTTCCTTATCACGCAAAGAGTTTATAAAAGTTCTTTTAACTCTTTTTTGGTCTTAAATATTGTTTTTCATATTCAAATTACAATTTTATGGAGTAGCTAAGTCTTATATTTACTTTCCTTTAAGCATTAATTTCTATTCTTAGCACAAATAAATCCCAGAAAGTCTTTAAAATCCCGTTTTAAAGTCAGAATTAATTTCAATAGTATGAAATCAAAATGTGATACCTTCTGCCCTGCCATTTTTCCCTTGATTTTAGTTGACAGTTTTGGCTGCCTCATTATGGTGAGGAAAGGGGGCGGAAAAACGAAAGAAAAACTTTGTGACTGGTGGGGGGGGGGAAACTTGCCATGGCAACTGCAGATGCAGACATTCATTGCCGTTCCCCATTTGGATTTTCAATCATTGTTGCCAAGCAGCTAAATATAAGCACTCAGACGTGTAAGTTACAAGTCCCCAACCCTCAATCCGAAGTCCATATTCCTGTATCCCGTATTCCGTTTTCCGTGTTCCGTTGCCCTCACTCCATCTCACATCTACCATCTCCCAACCCATCTCCCGGACAGCTGTACTTTGGCACGCTTCTCCATTCTCGATTCTCCGGTATTGGTATTCAAGGGCAGGAAGACACCGCCAACCTCCAGAAGCGTCTCGTCCGTCCTCCATCGTCCTTACCCCGGGGAAGAGTCGCAGACTCCTCGAACTATTTTTGAACGTCCGGTCATTTTGTGTTTTTATTTTTTTGCACTGCGCCGTGTTCCCCTGGAAATTCCCGTGTTTTGTGCCTCCTTTTTTTTTCAGGGGCCAACACCATGAAAAATCAGGGGATTATCAAGCTACTCAGAGGTTGATAAGTTTTAAAGTTTTCAAAAATAAAGGATTTGAAAAATGCTATTTGCTATTTGGTTAAGTAAGCCTATGAAAAGTTATCTTATGATTAATACTTTAAATATTTTAAAGGTTTTTTTTTAACAAAACAATTTAATATATCATTAAATTGAAGTTTTAAAAATTTCAATGGGAATCCGATTGATCGAGTTTTCTACATCTAATCCCCCATCTCTGTGCCCCACCACAAGCCCCTCTCCGTACAGAGGCCAACGCCACCGTTTCTTTTTATGTGTGTTTACTGTGAAATTTATTTTTAATTTCAACGACGCGACCTGCTCCCCTTCCTCATCCTAATTTTTATTTTCCCTTTTTTTGCGCCTGGCTGTAAAAAGATGCTGTGGAAAGGGAAAACATTTAAACAGGATGCAGCATTTCCAGGCGTGGTAGCAATGGCTAGGGGCAGGGAGAGGTGCTGCATGAGGGAAAATGTCCCACCCAAGTCATGCTGAAATTGCTTAAAAATTGCCAGACAGTGCAAATATGTTCCAGCCAAAAATGGGGAGGCCAACGAAAAGGGGATGCTGACTCAAAGTCCCCCGATTACCCACCGCCCGTGAAGTTGACAGCAGCGGCAGCAACAAATAGTTTTCAGCCCTCAAAAAAAAAAAAAAAAAAAGAGAAAACGACAAAAAAAACAACAAAATAAGAGTTGAGAAATAAAGTGAAATAAAAATATAACAAAATGCAAAGCGAAAGGGATCAAGACCCGCCCCTCATCCTCTTCCTTAGTCTCGGAAAACCCCCGCCCATGGCTGTCAGTCTAGGGCGCATTAAAATGCAGAATGAGGAGCATTTCATTTGCCGCCGTCGCTTGGCGAAATTCAAAATCAGCAAATTACGTGCTGGGCCAGAATGTAACTAACACTTTGCCAGTCAACCAATCCCCTCCTCTTCACCCACCCCTTCTCAATTTTCTCGCACCCAACGTCCATGTTATTTCCCCATTCTCTAACCCCCTTTGCGCGCCTAAGACGACATGTAATTATCGTTCAAAGGGATAGTTTCCAGGGGGTGGCAACAAAAAAAAAAAAAAAAAAAATAAGTGTCTCGAAATGGGGGACAAAAGTAAATAAGCCAAAGGTTAAGCAGTCACAGTGACTGGCAAAGTCGCAGCTTGAGGATTTGAAATCCGTAAAATTAAATTCAAGATTAAACTATAAAACTAACAGAGATGAGCTTAAAGCTAATCAAGATTTTTCATTGAGCTGTGCTAAGCCATAAGATTATAGTTATATAAATCATTATAGAAAATCTTCTTCTATTCCTATTCTATAGTTAACTTTTTCCTTATTTAAACAATTTTCATATCTTTTAAACATTTTTACAATCACAATTACATTTTCCTTTTGGTTTTCATTTTGTTTGTCTGGTTGTAACTTAAGAAGGATTTTTTACCAACCAGACGAAATCCCACCCTTTGCATCAGTTAATTGGGAAATGGTCTTAATAAGGCCGGGTCAAAAGCTACTTCTTCGATTCCTGCGGGGTCATTGGCAACAGCTGTCGGTGGAAATGGTGCCCCGGACGACTCAGGCCCCCTTTTCTTAACACCCTATTTTCCCCCGTCCCCCCTTCCCTCATCCCACTCACGATGAAGTCTTAGAGTTTCCTTCGCGAAAATTAAGAGAGGAGCGGTGAGGTGAATGGGGAATTTTTGGTCCCGTCCGTCCATTGGCCTCACGTACGAGTGGGTTTTTATTTTCCCCAAGTTCATTTAAATTTCCAACGCCTGTCCATCTGTGCGAGTCTCTAAACCAACTCGTTGCCGATTACTTTCGCTGTCTAAATTATTTTTCATAAAAAAAAAAGTAGGGGGGCAAAATACTTGATCTTTAGGAAAGTCCAAAGACTGAATACCCTTAAATTGCTGATTTTTAAATGATTTATATATTTGAAAAAAAAATAAACCTTAAATAAAAATCCTTTAAATATAAACATTTATTACAAAAATCTAAAATAATAGTTTAAATTTAACAAACAATTTTCTAAAAATCCATGAAAACCTCTTTGAAAAAGTGTATAAAAGGAGTTGGCAAACAAGTGGGGAGGAAAAATTACGGTTTTGGGTGTTGGAAGTTACAGGCGGCTCAAGGTGAATGGCGCAACGGTAATTAGTTAAAAAGCAGCTGCCTGTGAATGCGACTGTGACTCGATGAGTCGTGACAGCACTAAGAAAAATAAAGTATACGTAGTGAAAACTATCTCTCTTAA